TATGAAATGATTAAAATTGAAAAATAGAATGAGGCACAAGAAAAGAAAAGGGATAGGGGGGTTGAGCACGGGGCTCCAGCTGAGCGAGCGCGTGCGTGAGGCGGCACCGTCTCCGAGAGTCGACCCCGCGTCGGAGCCGAGCAGCGGGTCGCGCCGCACCTGGAGGGACGTGCCAGGGACGTGTCAGGGACGTGCCAGGGGACGTGTCAGTGACGTGTCAGGGACGCGTGTGAGGGGGAAAGCGGGGGGTGTGAGGGGCGCGCTCCTCCCTCCCGACGAGCACGCGCGCGAGGTAGCGCGGCAGCGGGTGGTCGATGTGTGCGAGGTGGATGCGCATGATTGCGGTGAGCGGCACGGCGAGCACGAGCCCGGGCACGCCCCAGATGGTGCCCCACATCATGAGGGAGAGGAGGACCACCACCGGGTGCAGGTCGAGCGAGTTGCCTGCGGGACACGTGCCGGACGCGTCGCGGACATGGCGCGGGTGGCCACGCGAGGCGGGAGGGTGTGCTGCCGAAGATGAGCGGCTCAAGGACGGACCCGACGGCGAGGTGGACCTGGAGTGTGGGGGGGGGGGGGAGTGTGGGGGGGGGGGGGGGGGGAATTGGGGAAGGAGGGGAGGAGAGGGAGCGCGGGCAGAGGGCGAGGGGCGAGGGGCGAGGGCAAGAGGGGGAGGGGCGCGCCCCCATCGGGAGTGCAAAGGAGAGGAAGACGGAGAGGGAGGTCTGTCCCGGGTCGAAAGCGGCGACGGGCAGCGGCAGCAGCGTGGCGACGACGGCGCCGATGTTCGGTATGAAGTTGAGGAGGAAAGCGAGGACGGCGAACAGGAGCCACAGCTCGAGGTTGATCGACCTGCCCGCACCGTGTGTGCGTGACCAGGCGGCCTGCGGACCGAGGACCGGCCGACGGCCGCGAGGGAGTGCGCACCAGAGGACGAGCGCGGTGAGCCCGCCGACCAGCAGAGAGAGGGAGACCTTCCCGCGGATGAAGGCGCGGGTGCGGTCGTCGACCTTGTGCAGCACGTCGTCCGCAGGCAGCCCGTCGCGCGCGTCCCTTCCGCAGGGGGCGAGGCGGGCCGGGGCGGTGGGGCGGTGGGGGGGAGGTGGGGGGGTGCGTGCGGCGTGTGGACTGTGCGGCGTGTGTGGTGTGAGGCGTGTGTGGTGTGGGGCGTGTGGTGTGTGCCCGCCTCCCCAGCATCAGGTAGATGGTGAAGTGTCTCGGAAGTGTCTCGGAAGTGTCTCGCCTCCCCAGCATCAGGTAGACGGTGAAGAGGAGGACGAGGAGCATGTTGGACAGGAGCGAGAGCATCCCTTCCACGACCGACATGACCAGGCCGGTGAGGGGGACCTGGCGAGGGGGAGGAGGGGAGGGGGGGGGGGGGCGGTCACTCCTCCCGCGGGCGGACAGAGGGGCGAGACCCACACAGCTTGCTGTGGGGAGGGAGCGCAGCAGCAGGGCGGCGGACGCGAGGGCGGGCTAGCAGCAGCAGCGCGGCAGGTGGCAGGTGGCAGAGAGAGACAGAGTCCCGGGCTCGCCGCGGAGCCGCCGCCCTAGAGTGAGGCATCGCGCCTGCCCGACCAGCTGGTGCAGCTTCTCGAGCCTGGAGGGGTCAAGCCATCTCACAGTGAAGCTAGCCGTGTGCGTGCCGGCGGTGTGCAGTCTCCCCGAGGCGCCTCAGCGGAGGGAGCGAGTCCAACTCGAGCCCGTCCAGCCAGGCGAGCACGCCGTCGATGAGCCGCCGCACCTGCGGGCGCACAAGTCCGGTGCAGCCGCCGCGCCCTTACCCCCGGGCCCCCTCCTCTCCTCCCTCCTCTCCCGGACGCGAGACGGCGCCTGCTCCGAGTACGTGTCGGCCCGAGCGGAGAAGGTGCGCAGCGAGTCCATGAGGAGCACTCCGATATAGCTGCACGCTAGCCCCGTGACGCCGAGCGTCACCAGCACCGCCAGCGGCCGCGGAAGCACCAGCCGGCAGAAGAGCTCCGAGAGGCAGCGCACGACAAGCGGCGCGTCGGGCTCGTGGACGGGCTGCGCGCAGAGCTCGACGCCGAAGCACCCCATCGGCCGGCGCGTGAGCAGATCGACCGGGAAGGCCAGCAGATACCTCGTCGCCGAGGCGAGCACCAGCGGCACCAGCACCGCTCGGAGGTAGGCCAGCGTGGCTCCGAGGACTGCGGCCGCCATTATGCAGAGCGCGAGCGTGCGGATGCGCTCCTCGACGCGGGTCTCCTCGATGGAGAGCGCTCCAAAGAGCGGGTGCGAACGCCGAGAGTGCATACGCTGAGGAAGATCTGCTGAATAGTTGTGGGGGACCATGGGTAGTGCCAGGCGCCGCTCCCGCCCTGGCCCTCCGGGTCGACGCTTTTTTTTCCTCATCGTAAAGTGGACTTCCGACAAACAAGCGTTTGTGTGCAGGAGGTTGCTATCATCCCGTCCAAGGCCCTCAAGAACAAGATTGCGGCTACACTACGGTACGCACCTCCCACACCACACACACCTGTACGCTGTAGAGAGAAGAAGGCATGAAGGCTCTCGGCACGGGAGGACCGGCTCCAGCTTCGGCTGAGGGCTGACAAGCTGCCGAGCCCAAATCACTGTGAGAGTTTTGTTTTGAGCTTCCGTGACGGCCCACGAGCCATCCGGACGCTGGTCGCTGCTACGGCCGCCAGCACGACATGACACGACACTCCCGCGTCCATCCAGATCGCCAGGGCGGCAGGGTGAACTCACCCATGGTCCATCTGGTCGCCTCGTCGCTGACTTCTATCTATGCACTATGCGCGAGGTGGTACCAAAGTAGCAGTAGCAGCGACACTAAGCATCGTCACCTTGGGTATTTGATCGCGGGGGCGGCCAACATTCGAGTGGCGGCCAAGGGGCGCCGCGCGCTCCTACCCTCCGTGCTCCGAGCCCCGGGGCGGCGCCCCGCGACGCCCCGCGAGACGAGCGCCGACCCAGCAGCCTGTCGCCATCCCGCCAAGACGGGCGAGCGTTGCCCTTAACGGAGACACAGCAGAGTGCAGAGACAGAACATCAATCAAAAAAAGGGATAGCTTCTGTTCGGTGTGCGTTTTGTGAACCAACGTGGGAACGACGCCCCCCCGCGGAGGCTGTGAACAAACATCGCCTCGTGCTCTCGCGCTTGCAGGCAGAGCTGCCCCTCTCGCCACCGCACGCGCCCCGCGCCACCCCACTCTCGACGCGAGAGGCCGTGCGTGGCTGTGCGGGCCGCGCCTTGCGCTCTGCGCGCCAGCCGCCAGCCGCCAGCCGCGGACGGCAGTCGCACGGGTCGACTGCCGGCATCAGACTGCCAGCGCTCTGCGCGCAGCGTCGGCGTGGATTTTCTTTGCGCACGCTGCCGTCTCAGGCTCCGCTCCCGGCCCCCCTCACAGGGTGCCATGTCTGAGGCCAAGAAGACGCCCAAGTTCCTCAAGGCTGGCAAGGTTGTGCTGCTGCTGAATGGTCGTATGGCCGGCAAGAAGGCGGTCATCGTCAAGACCTTTGACGACGGCACTGCTGACCGGCCGTACGGCCACTGCCTGGTCGCGGGCATCATGAAGTACCCCCTCAAGGTCACCAAGAAGATGTCGGAGAAGAAGAGGACGAAGCGCTCGCGGGTGCGCGCCGCCCAGTGCCCCGCAGACGCAGCAGGGCGAGGCGGGACGGCGCCGCTGCGGCTGCTCAGTCGTTGCAGCACGGCTCGCTGCTCGCCGCCCACCGGGATTGGCGGCAGCCTCGTGCGCTCTCCCGCGGGCCACTCGTCGTCGGAGTGCAGAGAAGCGGCGGTGGGTTGGGGGCGGCGGAAGCGGCGCTGCAGCCTCTGCACAGGGAGGGGGGGATTCTCCTCCAGCGCCCTTGCGATCTCCGCCCCCGCCCGGCCGACCGCCGCGCCGCGCCGCCCGCAGATCAAGCCCTTCATCAAGAGCGTCAACTACAACCACGTGATGCCGACCCGGTACACGATGGACGTCGACTTGAAGTCGGTCGTCACGGCGGACATTGTGGGCAGCAGCAACCCGACTGCTAGGCAGTCGTGCCGCAAGGAGGTGAAAAAGTCGCTGGAGGAGAAGTACGCCGCCTCGCTCGCGTCAGGCAAGAACAAGTGGTTCTTCCAGAAGCTGCGCTTCTGAGCCTTTTGCGATATGCAGCGCGTGTGTTGTTTTAGCGCGGCGCCGCGGCATCACACCCAGACCCCCCTCCTTGTGACTCCTGATGTGTCTTACAACCACATGTACGTAATGGGAAAAAAAAACTGTTCAAGTCTTAAAGGCAAAACACAACGCTCTGCGGTTGGTGCACCCCCCACACTGACACATTCCCCTCATCCCCTACCCTTGGCTGAGCACATCTACCTGCGAGCTAGCCTCTCCGCATTTTCTCTTCCGCAGTCATCCGCCCGCGCCGCGCGCCATCTCTGGGCGTCTAGTGCAGCCACTGACAGAGCTATTCCGAAGGAGTGGTCGACGCCTCGCCTAGAGTTCGGGTGGACTTGCGCACTGCTTAGCCCTGAGGGGGGAGTGTGTGTGAGGTGGTGTAATGTCGTCCCGTTTCAGGCGGCAGGTCAGGGGATTAGCCGGGAGGATTCGGCAGCTCAGCCGGGGGCTGAGCGTCTGCAGGCAGCCTTCCGCTCGCGCCGAAATTCACAGCCCTCCCGGGCCGACGGGGTGCTCCTTGGATCGGGCCCCGCTCCCCGCTTTTCCTGTACCTGGACTGTCCGGGTCAGGAGGGTGGGAGTATTGGGTGGGCGAGGGCAGTACATCTGGCGGGTGGGGATTGAGGGACAGCAAGAGGGCTGATTGGGGGGTCAATGGGCGCGCGGGCGGCGCTTCGTGGTCCTGGGCGAGCAGGGGCAGTGGTTAGGAGTCTTGGGCCTGGAGATATGAGGGTTGTCGAGATGTCATGCGAGAGCGGTAGGTGGGCGAAGGTAGCGCGGCTGGAGAGTGGTGTCCGAGGGACAATGATGAGTTGTCAGTTGGGGCGCGAGACGCGCGGGACAGTGTTGGAGGCGGCCAGTGAGATAGGGTTGGCTTTGAGCAGTGCAGCGAGTGTGTGGTCAAGCGTGGGAGCAGCGCGCGAGCACCGGATTTTTTTGCTGTGCGAGTCGAGTTCGTGGCCGGTGCGCGGGAACCTGGCTGAAAACCCGCGCATCCGGCCGGTTGTGCGACCGAGGTCGCCGATTGTACGACCGAGGTCGCAGAGCCTTGGCGACGCGACGCGCACGTCGCCAAGGAGTTCGTAAAATGTCCGAGGTTTTTTGTGTATGTACGTAATGGGGACTAAACTTAATTACAATAGCACCGCGCTGCGACCGCGCGCGACTCAAGTCTCAAGGCCACTCGCACTCCACGTGCACGATCTCTCCGACTCCGTCTCGCTCTCGGACCCGCCCGCCCCCTCGCGCGCGCTCTCTGACGGTCTCGCGGAGCTCTCGGGGCCCAACCGATGTGCACACACTTCAGTGCGCGGCCGTGATAAATGGGACAGCCGGCGCGGCGCGCAAAGCGTACGTGCCGCCGAGACGGATGTAGCCTGAGTCCCACATATGTCCGCACACTGAACGTCACCCCGTACAGTCTGTTGCGAGGGTGCACACTGTCCGCGCGGCCCAGGTGCGGGAATTCAGGTTATTGCAGAGGCTTGAGGCGCCTCGCCACCACAGAGAGCGGAGTCGGCGGCATTGCCGAGATGTAGGGCGGCCCAGCGGCCCGGCTCCGCACCTCCTCGCACCTGCGCAGCTGCGTCCGCAACGGCGGCGCGCGCTCCACGCCCTCCCAACGGCGGGAGAGCGGCGTGACCGCCCATACTGCGTAGCTGCAGTCGCTGTACTGTACGCGCACCGCCGCCGACAGATCGCCATCGCCCGCCGCGCGTGAGAGACGTCGGACTATGGCCGGCGCCGTCAATGGTGGTGCCCACGCCAGTGGCGCGCCCACTAGATCCCGCCGCGCTGCGAGCCGTGCAAGGAGAAGGAGCGCGCTGAGCGCAGTGGCGAGAAGCTGCGGGAAGACCGGCAAACGCAGAGCGCGCTGCCCGCCGCGGCTGCTCATCGCCGGCGCTTGCAAACGAGCACTACAGCAATCACACCACCCTGCACGGTCGTCGGCGTTCCTCCGTAAATACAGCAAAATGGCGCCCACCACGGCCGAGACCATGATCATCGTGCGCGCCCGCCCCCGATCCTCCTCCGCTGCACCTGGATAGCACCGCTCGCCACCGCTCGCCGCCGCCTCGCCTCGCTTCTTGACCGCCGCCATCGACGCCCGACCCCGATGTGTATCGCCGGCCAAGCCCCTTGCCGCCCTCACCGCCGCTTCCCCCGCCCCCGCTCCCCCGTCCCCGCCACCGCGATCCCCCTTTGATCCTTTGCCATAGATGAGCCTGTACATCCTCTCCAATAGACGTGCAGACAGGGTCGCCAGGTGAGAGCGAATGGCGCGGTTCACTCCTCGCACAACAGAGAGAGAGATGCGCTCTGCATGGTGGGACATAAAAGAGAGCGAGGACTTGGGCGAGTAGGCCGTGCGGTCGACGCTGCCGTGTCCGCTAACGCGCAACAACATTTTGGTACTGCTAACAATCTAACGCGCATAGATTCGCACTTCGAAGGTCGTAACAATGAAAAGTCAAAAGAGGCGGCGGGCTCGGTGTGGCGGCGGCGAGGGCGCCGGGAAGAGGCATGCCACGCAGAGCGCTCTGTTGCCAGCTAGCTGTCATCCACGCCCCGGCTCGCCTGCCGGGCCAAAAAGAAGAATTTTGAGCAAATAGCCCGATACCGATCATCCGGCCCGCTGGATGCGCTTCTCAGCTCCCCGGCCCTGGATGTGAGGTTACTGACTGCACTCCAAGTGCTCCAAGTGCGCCGCGCAAAATCCTGCTCGTGCAGGTGAATACCCTGCCCACGTTCCATCCCTCGTTTCCCTTCTCTGTTTTCCACTTTCTTTCCTGGATTGCTGACAGGGTTTTAGGTATATTGTTGGCCAATCAAGACACAGAGCTCACACAGAATCACAGCGGGAGGAAAGCTGACAGGGTTTGCACGGGGATCGGCTTCTTACACAGCCCTTCCCTGCAGCGAGCCCCCCCAACCCACCCGCGCCAGGTCCTGGGCGGCGAAGGGGTCACTCCCGACGAACCCTGGAACTAGCCGGGGCAGTCGGAGAACGGGCAACTCCGTGCACTGACGGTCGGCCGTCAGAAAACACGCCTGCGTGGACCGCGTCAGGGTGTGCAGCCATTGACGTAAAACACAAACGCTACCAGTTAGGGCGGGTGGAACGCAGTACGTGAGTGCGTCTCAGGGCCTACGTTGTATAGCGTACAATGTACATGTGAGGTATCTCTATCATTTAATTCTAATTACTGATAAAACACAGGGACGTAAAGATAAAAGAAAGAAAGAAATCGGACAGCCCAAGGGAGGGAGGGGAGCCGACGGCACGCCGCCACCACACAGGGATTTTTAAGGACGAGAGGGGTGTGATGCGCTAGCCGTCGCCCACCCCCCCTCCAAGGCGTCCGCCTCTTCCTATATCTTCGCAGTCTCTCCGCCGATTCTCGCTGCAGCCTTCATGCCACCTCGCGGTCGTCCCACTCTCGTCATTCTCTCTCTTGTATCGCTTCTTCCTCTGTCGCGTCGCTCTCCTCTGCCTCGTCCTGCGACGCCGCCGCCTGCCGGTCCCTTGCTCTCGCTTCTTCTCTCGCCTTTCGTCGCAGCTCTGCCCTCCTCGCGGCATATTTTGGCCCCTCGCTCGAGTTCGCGATTCAAAATTCTTTTTTAGCGACCGCTCGCCCAGCGGTCGCCCCGGCGTTCTTGTCGCGGTTCTTGCTGCGCCAGCCACCACCTCCATGGGCGCTCAACGCCGCGCGCTCCGCGGCGTTCGCCGTGCACCACGACCGCAGAAGCAGCCACCAGCGGCTTGCCCGTCAGACATAGGCACAGCGGCGCAGAGCAACGCGGAGGCGAACTTCTGGAAAACATTTTGGGAGAATGTGCACGCCAACCCGCTGCAGCGCAACCTAGCCGTGGTTGGCCTGTTTTTCGGCTCATGCGCCGTGCTGCAGTTTCAGGATTGCAAGCGTACGGTCGAGGCGCGGCTAGCGGAGCTGCCCCCGGAAGTCCAACAGTCATGGCGCGAAGGGACCTACAAACCTCCCTCGGAAGGCGGCGGCTGACCGACCGGGGCCCAGAGACTGTATCGTTAGCTGTCGTTTGTGCCGAAGGGCAGGAGGTGGGCGGGTGGAGCGTCGGCCGTATGGCTGTCCCAGGCCCTGAGGGTCTCGGGGACCAGTGCCGATAGGGGTGTATGTGTCTCGCGGCGCGCTATAGACCGCAGTTTTAATGCACATCTAATAGACGTAACCGCACCAGCATCGAAAACACACGTAACGCGCTTTCGGACGTACGCGCTGGCATGCGCATGTGGGAGGCGCGCGGGTTGTGCGTGTGCGCGGGCCGCGGCGACGCCGACGGGCGAACGCACAGCCGCACAGGGCCGGCCGCTCGCCCCAGCGCATCAGCCTCGTGTAATGGCATAGCGAGGAGTGCGACGACTCGTTCATTCATTCAGAGCTCGCTCAGAGTCGCTCGTCCGGGAGCTAAGTCTCCTTCTCAATGTCACTCACCTCAAGGCCACGCTGCTGGTGCTGCTGCTGCAGGGTTGCCCTTGGGCTCGAGGTGGCTGAGCGGGATTTGAGACAGGTCGGCGGGCGGCTCGACGAATGGGATCAGCGACCTCTCGGCCGGCTGCTCCGCTGCTGCAAGGTTAGGCTCCAGGTGGCTGAGCGGGATTTGAGACAGGTCGGCGGGCGGCTCGACGAATGGGATCAGCGACCTCTCGGCCGGCTGCTCCGCTGCTGCAAGGTTAGGCTCCAGGTGGCTGAGCGGGATTTGAGACAGGTCGGCGGGCGGCTCGACGAATGGGATCAGCGACCTCTCGGCCGGCTGCTCCGCTGCTGCAAGGTTAGGCTCCAGGTGGCTGAGCGGGATTTGAGACAGGTCGGCGGGCGGCTCGACGAATGGGATCAGCGACCTCTCGGCCGGCTGCTCCGCTGCTGCAAGGTTAGGCTCCAGGTGGCTGAGCGGGATTTGAGACAGGTCGGCGGGCGGCTCGACGAATGGGATCAGCGACCGCGGAATCGGCGCAGCGAGTAGGCAACAGAGGACGCTCGCGAGCATGTTGCTGCTGACTAGGACGCACGACGACGCGACAAGTCCCAAGGAAGGGCGAAAAAGGAGCGCCATGTTTCTTATAGGCGTCTCGCAGCGGCGTATTCTCGTATTATCTTCAAGTAGTTGCGTGGGGGCGGTACGTATTCTCGTATCAGTAGCTAGTGTCGTGTCCACTAGCTCCGAGTAGAGAGAGGGTGCGTTCTGCTGCTAGGGGAAACCCGGAGCGCGGTACTAACCCTCGGAGACCCGTGTTATGGCCCTGCGACCGCGCACCCCCCAGGGCTAGGGCTCTCTTGCCCGCAACCCGATCCCAATCATCCGGCCCGCTGGGTGCGCTTCACTCAGCTCCCCGGCCCTGGATGTGCGGTTGATGACTGCACTCCAACCAAGTGCTCCAAGTGCTCTGGCGCCGCCTTTTTCGGTGTACGTACTATCTCTCGGTGTACTTTTAGCTTACTGGGAGAAAAGGGAGAGGGGGTTGTGTTCTCTAGGCCCCTAAGGGCCCTACGCGCGGCGTGAGAGCTCGGAAGCGAGCTTTGCACGGCGATCGAGGATGGCGCGGTTCACCCTAGGGTTCACCCCCTTCACCGAAGCAATGGAGATGCGTTCCGCGTGGTGTGACACAAATGAGAGGCGGGAGTGGGGAGGGTACGCGGTGCGGTCAACGCCCGAGCGTTGTGAGCCTTGCGCGCAAGGCGGTTGATCTTTGCAACTGCAGGCGGCGAGTATAGAAGCCGCCGCCGAATGTCTCGTGGAGAAGCAGGTCTCTCTCTCTCGGTGTATGTGGCTCTTACGTACATTCCCGTAGGAGGACTCCTTTGTGTGTTTTGCGAGAGGGGCCTTTTGTTTTTTGTGTGCCGTTCAGCGTTCACCCCTCCTAGGACGGATCTTCCTTGGTTGGTTGGCCTATACGGTCCGAGGTATACGCCTTCTTTCTTTCTTTATTTCTTGGCACACTTGAAATGGTCTGTCCGCACAATTCTCGTGCACGTTCCTTCGTTCCTGTCACTGGCGGGCTGTCACCTCACCCGTCGCCGTCGCTCGGAAATTCCGTCCGGCTTCGAAGATCGAAGTGAGTTTTCGACACAGTTTTGTCGGGAGTGACCGCTTCCGGAGCCAGGCAGGCCGAAACGGGGAAGATTCCTATGTGGATCGCTTGTCATGTGAGAGAGTGCGTTGTGGTTCTTGGAGTGCGTTCGCTCTTTCACGGCTGTATGGAGGTTCGCTTGTGCATCTCGCTTCTGTCTGCAGAGCTCGCTGCTCCTCCGGCCTCGCCGCTCGATGTCGCTCTTCCTCTGTGCCACCGCCGTGAGCGGCTACACCCTCGGCGCCGGCGGCGCACTACAGGGCCGCGTTGCCACGCAGAGCCGCTTCTCGGAGGCCTCGCGCGTCGCTGCGGAGCCGCTGATGGGCATGTCCGTCGACCTGACCGGAAAGACGGCGTTTGTTGCTGGCGTGGCTGACTCCACCGGCTACGGATGGGCCATCTGCAAGGTGCACCGCGCTTCACCGCGTTCCGTTTCGCGGAGGGGTCGCCCTCTCCGCCTCGTGGGAGGAAGCCTCACACTGCTTGGGACCCCCACTCACCGCCAGCGCCTCGACGTGATCTGGACTGAGCCAGGGTCGGTTCTCCCTCCTGCGGCAGGCGCTCGCCAACGCCGGCTGCAAGATCACCGTCGGCACCTGGCCGCCCGTGCTCGGCATCTTCCAAAAGTCGCTCGCCTCGGGCAAGTTTGACGAGGCCGCCGTCGCCGCCGCCGCCGCCGCCGCCGCCGCCGCCTCGTCGACAACCCCTCACCCGCCGCCTCGCTGTGTCGTCAGGACATGATTCTGGACGACGGCTCCAAGATGGTGATTGAGAAGATCTACCCTCTCGACGCTGTCTTCGACACCAAGGCGGACGTGCCCGAGGACGTCCTCTCCAACAAGCGGCGCGCGGGGCCCCTCTCCCTCGCTGCTCTTCCACAGCACCAGAGACGCCATCGCCACGACACACTCCGCCACGAGCCGCGACAGCCGTCGGGCCCGTCCTAGGTACGCTGGCCTCGACGGCTTCTCCATCGAGGAGACTGCCGAGGCTGTCAAGGCCGACTACGGCACGACCCGCCCCTCTGACCCGCCGCCGGCCGTGAGCGGCGTCTCTTCACACGCCCTGGCGGCGGATAGGCAAGATCGACATCCTGGTCCACTCCCTCGCCAACGGGCCCGAGGTGCAGAAGCCGCTGCTGGAGACGTCGCGCGCGGGCTACCTCGCCGCCGCCTCCGCCTCCTCGTACTCGCTCGTCTCGCTCGTGTCGAAGTTTGGGCCGATCATGAATGAGGGCGGCTCGGTCCTCTCGCTCACGTACATCGCTTCGGAGAAGGCGGGACGCACGCCGCGGGCACGCCGACACGTGTGTGTGCTCGCCCCTGCACGACCCGCCCACGACCCGTCCTCAGGTGATCCCGGGGTACGGCGGAGGCATGTCCTCTGCCAAGGCGGCGCTCGAGAGCGACACGCGCGAGACCGCCGCGCGAGACGCTTCCCCGCGAGGGCTTGCCCGAGGCTGGCGGAGCCTGTGCCTAGGCGCGTGCTCGCGTGGGAGGCGGGCCGCAAGTACAACATCGCCGTCAACACCATCTCCGCCGGCCCGCTCAAGTCGCGCGCCGCTTCCGCCATCTCCAAGAGCGACAAGAAGTCCTTCATCGAGGTCGGCATCGACTATTGCAAGGCGAACGCGCCGCTCGCCAAGGACCTCTACTCGGACGACGTCGGCCAGACCGCGTGCTGCCTGCTCTCCCCGCTCTTCGGCGCCGTGACGGGCGTCACGCTCTACGTCGACAACGGCATGCACGCGATGGGCATGATTCAGGACAAGGCAGTCGCCCAGTGCCAGGACTGAGGGGCGCCGGCGGGGCGAGGCTTGACGAGAGGGCGCCGGCTCTCGGAGGGTGCATGCGTGGGTGGGCGGGAGGGGAGGGGGCTGCGGGATGGGGGGGGGGGGGGGGGGGAGCCTCGCGAGGAAGCCCCGAAGAGGGGCCCTGCGGAGAAACGCCTGTGAAGCTGTGAGACATGATGTGTGCTTGCGAAATGCTATAGCCGCCTGGCGCCTCGGGTGGCAAATGGGGTCGTCCATCTCTCGTACACACACGATCACACCCTTCGCGCCTAGCTTCGCGCACATCGTCTCGTCCGTGTGAGATGTTACCCTCTTCGGTCTTCGCACTCGAGCTAATGTCTAAAACGTAAATAAATCGGAAAAATAAAAACGGACACCTCTTACTTCCTCTTCCTCTACTGTGAGATGGGTAAAAAGGAACAGGTCCCCTTCTAAAAGACTAAAATGTAAAAACGAAATAAAAAGCAATCAATATATATCGGTAAACAAAAGGCCTCTCCAGTCTCTCTCGCGCGAAAAGGAGATGTGTGCGTTTTACGCCGCGGCCCGCGGCCGACCGCGACCCCCGTACGGGCGCGCGGGTCCGGGGGCAACCGGGGAGAGAGCTGAGTTGCTCTCTCTGGAGCCATCTCCACAGGTATAGACAAACCGCACTCAGGCGCGACGGCCGACGCCGCACTCACTGATTGTGACTCAAGTCATGAGAGGCATCTTTACAAATCGACCTCGGCTGGCCGTCGCCGCCGCCCCCTGCCGCGCCGCCGCCGCCTGCCCCTGCCGCCGCCGCCGCCGCCACCTCCGCCGCCGCCGCCGCCACCTCCGCCGCCGTCCCCCTTGGCGGCGGCTCGCTGCGCCTCCCTCACGCGCAGATGCAGAATGGCCATCGCGGTGTTGAAGGGGAAGAGGAAGTACTTTCGCTTCACCTCCGCGAGCCGCGTCTGCATCCTCGCAACCTCGGCGGGCGGGATGGCGCGCAGCAGCTGCGGCAGCTGGCTCACCTGGCTCTGCCGGATCCGGACCGAGAAGCGGCGCCAGTCGAGCACGCTGCAAAAGGGGAGGGTCACCTCGTCGTCGACGATCACCTACGGGAAGGCCCCGGGCAAGCTCAGGCACATCTCGCGCCAGACGCGTCCCCTCGTCGTCGACGGCCACCGGGATCGACCCGAAGAAGATCGCCTCCGCCAGACGGAACGAGTGGAGCCCGTTGCCCGCAGGCGCGACAGAGAAGACGGAGGAGAGCATCAGCGTCTTGTAGTCCCAGTGCTGCGCGCTGCGGCGGCCTCCTCCGTTGGTGCACACCATGATGAGGTCGCGCCTGATTAATTAACTAATTAACGATGAGCCATTAATTAAAGAGCACGCCATGGTGAGGTCGCGCCCGTTGTGCAGCTTGGCGAGCTGTGGGCGGCGCGAGCTGCTCTGGCACACGCCCTTGAAGGAGGCGAGCAGGCTGCGCCGGCCGCGCGCCGCCGCCAGCTCGGCGGGCGAGACGCGCGCCGCCTCTCCTGTGGGGGGGGGGGAGCGAGTCCGAGGGCTCACGAGTCCGAGGGCCCACGGGGCGAGTGGGGGGAGGCTGCGAGTGGGGGGAGGCTGGGCGGCGGGCGAGTGCGGGGTCTCTCCATTCGGGAGCAGCGGCGCGGGCAGGTCGAAGCCGGGGCGGTAGTCGGAGAGGCGCATCGACGTCTTGAGGAAGAGAGCCTTGGGAAGGAGCGGCAGGGGGGGGGGAGGGGGGACAGAGCCGTGTGCGGGCGGGGGTGGCGGGGGTGGCGGGGAGGGGTGGCGGGGAGGGGTGGCGGGGAGGGGTGGCGGGGAGGGTGGGGAGGAGGGGGAGGGGTGGCGGGGGGGGGGGGGGGGAGGGGCCGGGGGCGGGGAGGAAGAACTTGCCCCCTCGGGGCCGGACTTGATTGGGGGGGGGTCCATGTAGTCCCAAAAGATGTGGTTGTGGCCGGTGCCGCGCCACGATGGCATCGCCCGCAGCCGCGAGTGCGTCGCCGGGTCGCAGACGTCCCACTCGCAGTTGATGTTGACAGTGGGGATGACGAGGCAGGCGCCCTCCGCCTATAGGAAGGTGCAGAGAAGGTTCGTGGAAGGCGCCTGCAGGGGTGACGAGGCAAGCGCCCCTCCGCCTCGTCCGTCACGCCAGCGCGCAGCGTCTGCCGCATGCACGTCGGCCACCGCTCCATGTCGTGCGTCGCCGGCTTTGGCGTGTCGATGTACAGCCGCAGCGCCGACGCCTCCGTCTCTCCGGCTCGCGGCTGGCAGCGCTCGAGGTCGAAGCACGTCTGCAGCGTGCACCTGCGGTCAAGGGGGGGGAGGGTTGGCACACCGGGAGGGCGGGTGTGGGCACAGGGGGGGGAAGGCGCAGGGGGCTGGCTCCGTGCGTGGCGGCTGTGCATCAGTCCAGAGTTGGCGGGAAGAGGTCCGATCTGGCGGGAAGAGGCGGAGCGGCGTGTGCGGGAGTGCTCCGGGCAGAGGGGCGGCGCCACCTGCCGTTGTCGGGCGGCGGCTGCACGGGCGTGTCGCGGTAGCACCACTCCTCTTGCGGCAAGCCGAGCCCGCCTGGGCCGACCGGGAGGTCGTCGAAGGAGAGCGAGAGCGGCGCGTCGATGGGCACCGCCGCGCTGCCGTTTGCCTCAAACGCGTAGCCCTCGCACGCCGGCGGCGGCAGCGGCATGAAGACCTGCGCCGACACGATTGATGATGAGAATAGATTGACGGTGGCAATCCTACGGCGGCGGCAGGACGGCCTGAAGCGACTTGAGCGTCGCCCACGTTTTGTCGCGGTTGACGTCGACCGAGACGCAGTGGCCAAGCGAGCGGCACTTGGCCTGCGCGCGCTCGCAGCTGCGCCCATCGCACTTGATCTGGCACCCGCCGTCGCGTGGTGACTCATCGAAGGTGCACTGAAAGTCACTGCCTGCACCGAGGCCCGTCTCTCGCAGCGCAGCCGCGAGGTCGGGTCGCCGGCTAAGTGTGCGGAGGAGCAGCGTCGTGTCGAAGGCGCTCAGGCCGAGAGAGCTCGAGTTCAGTATCTCACGGAAACGCGGCGCGTCCCGCCTCAGGTATGTGAGCAGCTCAATATGCCGGAGTTTGCTAAAGCTTAGCCCAGCGCGCTCGAGCACCTCCCAATCATAGTGACGGCTGTGCAGCTCGCGTACCAGCGCTTCCGAGGTGGCCAGGCCGATGCTGGCCATTGGGCCGCCTCTCTCGAGGTTCTCGAGGTGGATATCCTTTGGCCGCGTTGGGTAGCGAGGTGTGCGCGATCGCAGGGCCGCCTCGATTAAAGAATTCACTGGGAAAAAGAGAAACAAAAAACCCACATTAAGTAGCTTGGATGGGCGGCAGGAGTGGGGGCGGTATGGTTCTTGCACTTGTGCAAGATTGGGCGTCTTCTGCCGCAGTCCCTTTGATGGGAGGCCCCAGGGTGGGGGCCACCTCGAACCCCCGGCCAGGGATTCGAGCGGAGGGTGCCCCGGATTCATCTATCCGTTGGGCCCCGGTACATTCATTAGAACTGATCACTTTGCGCAGCAGCCGTCCCTTCGCCGACTGGACGGCAGTGCGCTGCGTTGTCGCTCTGTCGAGCACGCTCTCGTGCCTCGTTGTTGTGACACGGGAGTAGAGTCGAGAGGTAGCCCTCGACGAGACGACCGGCGCCGCGATGCCAGACCTCACTGCCGCCGAGCTCAGCATTCCGGCCGAGCAGCACCCCGATCCCGCAAAGCCACTGGTGATACCCGTCGACTCAACAGTGGTAGGCTCTACCCTGCGCTTCATTCCGTGGTCTGTGGTGGGCAATCCGGCCCTCCTCCAGCTGCCCCCTCCTCCTCCGGGGATGCAACCGTCGTGGGTCCAGATTCCGCAGTGGGTCGCCATCAGTGCGCTGCTCGCCTTCAGTGAGCCCGAGCCCGCTGTGGCCACCCACTTTGACAGGCTCAGCGTCTTGCGGCTGGCCGTATTGGCCGCGGCCTGGCGCCGCATCCTCGGTGCCTTGTCCGACCTCGGCGTTTTCAGCACGGTGCACGTGGATGAGGATGCGTTCCGTACGGTGTGCATCCAGGCTCTGCACTCCCGCCAAATCCCGGTGCCCGAGCTCTATCTGCAGTGGGGCGATTTGGGGTACTCCGAGGCTATCGTGCCCTTGGGACCAGCGCCATCTGCAGAAGCGAAGGCCGTCGACTTCTTGCAGTACGCGACGGTCGGGGCTCTTTGCGACCCTACGGCCGACGTCCCGTTCGCAGCCCTGTCTGACATGACCCGCTGCTTGGGGCCCGTCTTCACGGCGGCGGCGCGCGTCGATCCCATGGGGAGCGCCGTCGTGGGGGCTGCCTCGCTCGCCGCCGCCGCTGGTCACATCACTCCGCGAGCGAGCGATGGGCATCCCGCCCTGCTCTCTCGGCATGTGCTCAGCATGTTGAAGACTACCCGCGCAAGTTTCCCGGCCTGCCTGAGGACCAACTCCTTTCAGAACTACTCTGCGGAGGTTGAGACTCGCGCCGAGTATGTGGGCGGGACCGCCGCGGCGCGCGACCGAGTGGCCGAGCAGCGTTGCTCGCGCGCTATTGCAGCCAAGGCGCCGACGCTCGACTCCCTGCTCCGTGCGCTGCCTCGGCCAACGCCCCCGTCGCCGCCCGCGCCTGGCGCGACCGCCTTAAGCGCGGGCGGCCCGTGACTTTGCTCCATCAAACGGGACAAGGCAAAAACACAGTTGCACAGATACATGCCGGCGGCGCGACTCCCCCCCGCAGATCGCCCTCAGTGGGGGAGACCGCGACACCGGTGACGGAGCGCAGTTGGGAGTGTCTTCGGCTCACGCCAGGGCGCTCGTTGCTCCTCCGTCTCTTTGTATCTTCCATACTGCGTTTATCAGAAGACGTATGGTTCTTGCACTTGTGCAAGATTGGGCGTCTTCTGCCGCAGTCCCTTTGATGGGAGGCCCCAGGGTGGGGGCCACCTCGAACCCCCGGCCAGGGATTCGAGCGGAGGGTGCCCCGGATTCATCTATCCGTTGGGCCCCGGTACATTCATTAGAACTGATCACTTTGCGCAGCAGCCGTCCCTTCGCCGACTGGACGGCAGTGCGCTGCGTTGTCGCTCTGTCGAGCACGCTCTCGTGCCTCGTTGTTGTGACCCACCCTGTCCCACCCGTGTGTGATCAGTGTCTACGGAGGGAGTGTCTTCGGCTCACGCCAGGGCGCTCGTTGCTCCTCCGTCTCTTTGTATCTTCCATACTGCGTTTATCAGAAGACGAGTGGTTACGCCCGGGCGCCGGAAAACGTACGAGCTCGTACGTTCTCGTACGACTGACCTGCCTGGTACTGACTGAGGCGGTGCGACGTTGTGGGTGCGAGGATTGGTGTGACGGGCTACCGACTTGCTGATGCAGCGTCTGCTCTCGGTCATCCCTGCCTTCAAGACCGCACAGCCTCAGCCATGCCCATGCCCTCTGTCGCCAGACTTTGACGGCGACGGCTTCTTTCGCCTTGCCGATGCAGTGTATGTCGCAGAAGTGTGGGCGGGGAAGCAGGAGTGGGGAGACACGCCAGATGCTACGCCGTGCAGGAGTGGCGACTTTGATGGCGACGGCTTCTTTCGCCTTGCCGACGCTGTTTTTGCGGCAGAAGTGTGGGCAGGGAAGAAGAGCTTCTGCCCTGGGGGCCCTGGGCGCGCAGAGCCACCAGGTGGCGGCACAGAGCGTCCCCCGCCACCAGACAGGCCAGCGCAGCCTCGGCCACAAGATATGCCGGAGCGGCCTCAATCAGAAGATATGCCGGAGAGGCCTAAGCCGCCAGACAGGCCGCAGTTGCCATCAACAACGAGACCAACTCTCTCAGACTGCGAGCGCTTCAAGCGAGAGTGTGAAGGAAGGAATTGCGTTTCAACGTGCAATACCAACGCGCAGGGCTCCTCCAGGTCGTGCACTTGCTCCTCCTCCTCCACCTCCACCTCCTCCTCCTCGACCTCCTCCTCCTCCTCGACTTCCTCCTCCTCCTCCTCCTCCTCGACCTCCTCGTCGTCGTTATCATCGTCGAGCGGCGATTACATGCTGCCAGATCTAGCGGACGACTACGCACTGCCAGTCACAACGTCGCCATCCCCATCGGACTCTCTTGGATGAAATATCACATGCACTCTGTGTGAACATAAATAAAACAAAGAGTTGGAAAAATAAACAAATAAACAAAATAAAAACGGACACCTTTACTAGGAGATGGGTAAAATGGAACAGGTCCCCGCCCGTGCGATCTTTGTGCAGGGTTCTATGTGGGTGGTCGGCGACTAGCCGGGGTGAACATAAAAAGTCAGAGGTTTATCTCTCTCTCTCAAGAGAAGAAAAACTCGCTTTTATCGCGCCCAGGGGAAGAAACAGCAAACACCGTCGCTCACCGTCAAACCGAATCCTCACTTTAACTCCCCTCAAATTCACCCATGCGGATGGGGAACACCGCCTCAACCGCAGCCCCAATGCAGCGCCGCGCCCTTAAAGCACTTTGGAGGCCGCTGCAATAGACAAATCCAAATGAGAGGCACGTTCGCCGCTGTCCCCGACACCTCGGAGCTCGGTTCTGTCTTAAGTTTTTTCTATACACTATACGGTACTTCTCGCACTTGACAATCCACTCCTCGTACACACGCTACATAGAAAGCAAGGCTGCCACTCAACCTGTGCGTGGACACACGCACACTTGTACAGAATGTACACACCAGTCGCGCGCCAGCTCATGCACAAAAAGACCGCGACACGCTGGAGAACGAGACGACGCTCTCGGCTCTCGATCTCGTCGAGATTATACACGGCGCGGGGTAAGCGCGGGGCCGACCCTATAGTCCCTACACAATCCTATTCCCGCCCTGGCGCGCTTCAGGCGGCTACGACGTGGGCACAACATGCGGCGAGGCTAGCATGACGCACCCGGGGATTGGCCAGTCCGCTAGAGCGGACTGTCAAAGGACAGGTTTCCCCGGGAAGCGCCTCGCCGTGCTACGCAGGCTGCCTAGCCGCGGGAGCCCCGCGACGCAGCGGCCCGCGTCGACCTCGCCTCGCACGGCGGTGGAGGCATCGCCCGTGCGGCAGGTGGCCCCGGCGACGCCTTGCTCTCCGCCGCAACGGAAGCGGCCCGCTTGGCCTCGCCCTTGCCCACACGGAGCAGGTTGCGGTAGTCGGCGAGGGCCTGGCGGTACTCCTCCTCCTCGAGGTCCTCCTCGTCGCCGTCGTCGTGCACGACCCGGAAGAGCGCGCCGTCCTCCCCGTCCGGCGGCAGCCACTTTGCCACCGTGGCGAGGACCGGCCCGCGCGGGAAGGTTCGCACGACGCGCCGGCCGACAGCGGCGTGGTCGGTGCGCATCGCCCGCTCCTGCTGCACCAAGCTGTACAGCTCGCGCGCCTCCTCCAGCTCCTCCTCCTCGAGGTCCTCCTCGTCGCCGTCGTCGTGCACGACTCGGAAGAGCGCGCCGTCCTCCTCGTCGGCCGGCAGCCATCGCGTGACCTCTCCCAGCACCACCGACCCGCTGTGCCGCACCGCAACGCGGGCACCGAGGAGCGGGTGGCCCTCTGTGCGCATCTGCGCGAGCATCGCGAGGAGCGCCGCCCGCTCCCTCTCCTCCGCGGCCTCGTCCTCCTCTGCCTCCTCGTCCTCCTCTGCCTCCTCCTCCTCTGCCTCCCCCTCCTCTCCCTCCTCCTCCTCTCCCTCCTCCTCTGGCAACGCCGCAATCTCCTCCCGTGCCGCCTCCTTCTTCTCCTCCCGTGCCGCTGCCTCCTCGGCCACCGGCGCCTCGCACGGCGCGCACACGATCCGGATGGCGCTGCGCCGAGCAGCGCGGGCCGCGCGTCCCGCAGTCGAGTTCGGCGGCTCCTCCTCGTCCGAGCGGCGGTGCACGGGCACGTAGTCCTCGGAGTCGCTCTCCTCGCCGGAGGAGCCTCGGTCCTCGTAGGCGACGCGCTGGCGGCTCACGCGCGCGCGCCCCACCGCGTGGCAGGTGCACGGCCCGAAGTGGAAGTCGGGCAGCGAGCAGCCCGGCGTCGCGCAGAGTCCTCGCGTGGTGGGGAGGGGCAGCTCGGTGCCGAGCTGCAACGCGCGCAAGGCCATGCGTGCGCGCTTGCTGGCACGCTGCGATCGCCCAGAGCGGCATGCTGCGCGGAAGCGGGTTGCGGCGCTGCGCTGGCCTGCCTCATCCCGCGACTGCCGGCGCTCCTCCTCCCTCGCAGTTGCCCGCGCCCTCGCCGCAGCCACCCGCTGCTCTCGCGCCTGCTCCGCCCTCTCCCGTGCCGCAGCGACGCGCTTGAGGTGGGCTTCCGCGGCCGCAGCGCGGCGCAGCGTGGCGATCCCAGCCTGCTCCACTTCGCGGAGCCGCCTCGCCACCTCAGCAGCCCGCGCCTTCTCCTTTTGCGCCTGCCTGCGGGCCTGGCGCTGCGCCTCAGCCCGCTCGCGCTGCGCCTCGGCCCGCTCGCGCTCGATGCGAAGCCGCTGATGCGCCTCCTTGGCCTTTGTCTCGAGGAGCGCAGACCGCGACGAGCTCGGCCGAGCTACCTTCTTTGCTGCCCTCACCTTCTTTGCCGCCGACTTGCGCTTGAAGGGGGAGATGAGAACGCTATCGACGAGACCGAGAGAGGCGAGGGCAGCTTGGTTCTGCCGGATGTTCTCGAGTCGCTCCCGTTCGTACGCGGAGAGCGTGGGCGTCTCCATGCCTTAGATCTACCTGCCGTCCAGCCTGCGGCCTAAACCCCGGGGGGATATCAACGTCGTTACAGACCGAAAATTTCTTTTTCTGCTGTGAAAATTCAAGCTTGAAGAGAGGGGAAAACAGCCCAGACCTATCCTACCTACCCCGTCATGAGTGCCGCCCAAGCAAAAATAAACGCCACCTGGGCCATTGGGTGTCTCGCAGATTGAGGTATCGACCGCGATGATGTGCACGAAGGCAGCGAGAAGGAGCACGTTGTAGAAGTGCCGTGGGTTGGTCTTCTCTTGAGAATTGGTCGAACAGCCTATCGGGCGAGTTGGGCGTGATTGGCTGGTCGAGCTGTGACTGAGATTGCGCGTGCGGTCACACCGCTCATACAGCTCGTGGTACTTGAGCGTCCGCAGGTTGGAGTCCTTCTCCTGGGACGCACAGTTTCAAGGACATGCGGCTCCCCGGCACGGGTAGTACCTCCGAAGCCTCGCCTTGAGCGCGGCGAGGATCGGCGGCGGCGCGGAGGCGTAGACGTTGTGGAGCTCGTATGGGTCGGCGGACATGTTGAAGAGTTGGTACGTGTCGATCGAGCTGAAGCAGCGCCGGGCAACAATCTCCTCGCTCGAGCACACATACTGGTACTCGCCGTACTTGTACTCGCTGGCGTCGCCCGGGATGCAGCCGGGGCAGTGCAGCCCGATGTACGTGTTCGAGTAGTCGTCGAGCGGCCGGACCGTGCCGCGCAGCGCCTCGTGCTCCGGGAACCCGCACTGGTTCAGATCGCCGGGCGAGTTGTTGGGCTCGCTCGACGAGCCCGGCGCCCAGCCCTCGCACGGCTTGAAGCCCGGTGTCTGCGGGCAGCCCTGCGGGTGGTACGGCGAGGGACCGCCCTGAGTGTAGTATTGAAAGAACTGCTCCGCGCGCCACGGCCGGCGCGAGAGGGCCGCTCGCTCTGCGCGGACGTGGCGTCGGGTCGGCGCGGGCAGCTCGCCCTCGCGCGCCTCGGGCACAAGCATCGGGAGGAGGGAGCGCCCGTCCATCGCGGCGGGCGTCGCGAGGCCGGCGAGGCCGAGGAAGGTGGGAGCGTAGTCGACGTTGGTGCCGAGGACGGGGTTGTCGCCGGCGGCGATTCCCGGCCCGCGCACGAGCATCGGGACGCGGAGCGTGTGGTCGTAGAGGAGGAACTTGTTGCTCGGCAGCCGATGATGGCCCAGGTTGTACCCGTGGTCGGACGTGACGACCCAGTACGTCGACTCCCACCGGCGCGCCTCCTTGACCGCCACAACCAGCGCCGCGTGCGCATCGTCGACGGAGAGTAGGCACTGGCAGCGCCGCCGGGCGAGGTCGTCGATCAGCGTCGCCTCCACGTCCGAGATGGGAGGCTGCGTCGCCACCAGCGCGTGGAAGCCGGCGTTGCTGTGGTTGTACGCTGGCGTTCGGGGCGACCGCACGCCGGCGCACGCGTCCTTGTACCATGCGGCGGGCATCGCGGGCGTGTGTGGGCAATGTGGCGCAAAGTAGAGGAAGAAGGGCCGGCCTGCCGCTGCGCTGCCCGTCACGTTGGGGCGGCGGATCCACTCGACCGACTTGTTGCCCAGGAGCGAGGTGGCGTACTCGCTCGGTGCCGCGCGATATGCAAAGTCTGGAGACTCGTCGTCCTCAAAGCCGCCACCGTACCCGAGAAAGGCGCCCTGGAACCAGCGGTCGAAGCCCTCCCTCGTGTTGAAGTTGGCCTTGCCAAAGATGGCCACGTTGTACCCCCTCTGCGCGCGCAGGTGCGCCCCGAAGGTGGCGTTGGTGTACACGCTGCCGTTGACGTGCCCCGTCGCCGCCGGTTGCACCTTGGCCGGTGGCACCGCGAGCGTCGATTTGATGTTGTGGAAGTAACGGCCGGAGACGGTCTGTGAGCGGCTCGGAGAGCAGATTGGTGTGTGGACGCGCCAGCTCGTGAGCATCGCGCCGTTGCCGTCGCCCTGCAGCAGCGATTGCGTTTTCACCATCGGCGTCCAGCCGCCCAGCTCCACGTCCTGGTCGTCGGTGAGGCTAAAGACGATGCTCGGGCAGTCTTTGCAGACCGGCCCGTGCGGCGGCGGCGGGACCCACCGGCGCGGCAGAGGAGCCTCTGCAGTCTCGGAGGCGGCGGCCTCTGCAGTCTCGGAGGAGGCGGCGGTGGTGGGAAAGGCGCATCGGTTGCCGGTGGATTCCGCGAGCAACAGCAGGACCAGGAGCAGCGGCAGCCGCCGCGCGGCTGCGTGACGCATCCCTCTTCCTGCTGCTGTCAGGCAGGTTTTTGTGGCTGCGCCGCCGCTGCACTGGCGAGCGATGGAGCAACGGCAAAACGTTACAATCAAGTACACGAAAAGGCGCGGACGGCAGAATTGAAATCGTTTTCTCCTTTTTCCGTCTGGGTCAAGAGTTTTTTTCTTTTTGCGGATCCCTAATGGGCCCGGCAGGGCATCGCCCGGCAAATAACGAGGCGAGAATCGGCCTTCCTCCGGTTTGTCTCGTCACCTATGATCGCCGTACCGGCCCTAGTCAAGCTGCTTCCCAAGGTGCTGCTGGCCGGGGCGCTCCTGCGCCGATCCGCCAGCGTCGCGCCCGCGGCGGCAAGTGCGGCGCTAATGAGGCCAGCGCGAGCGGGACCTTCTGACGAGGGGTCAGCTGTGCAAGCGCTGCGCGAGGCTCTGACGGCGTCGGGGCTGGGCGATGCGTCGCTGTGGGGCGTGCCGCTCACTGGCGAGAGCGGCGCGCCCCTTCTGCGGCAGTTTCTCCGCGCGCGGAGGTGGTGCGTGGACGACGCGCGCAGGATGCTACAGGGCACGCTTCGGTGGCGGAGGGAGAACAGGGTGGACGAGCTGAGCTCGATGAGCAATTTTGGGGAGGGCATGCCGCTCGACAAGATCATCGGCAAGGCGGGCGCGGGACCCCTCGTCCTCGCCACGCTTCCCGGCCGAGCGGTGCGCACCCGCCGCTCCCCCTTCCCCGTCCCCGACGCCTCCGTTGCGCCTCGCCTCTAGCCGCCGCACTCGCTGCGTTCCCGCCGCCGCACGCGCCGCCGCACGCCTACCTCCGCCTCTGCCTAGCTCTGCTCGCCGCTTCGCCTCTCCCGCAGCGCTGTGCCCTCCTCCCCGCGCGGCCTCGCGACATCGAGGCGCCGCCGCCCGCGCAGGCGCTCGCCGACGTGAACCGCTTCGTCCGCTGGCGGATAGCGATGCAGGAGGCCGCGATCCGCACGCTCTGCCTCACGCAGTCCTCGCCCGCCTTCACGCTGGTGATGGACGTGTCCGGGCTGCGCCGCTTCCACCTCTCGAAGGAGGCGCGGCTCTGCACGGCGGAGCTGTCGCGGGTGATGCAGGCCTACTACCCGGACTTCCTCGCCAAGACGCTCGTCGTCAACACACCGCCCGCCTTTGCCTGCGCCTGGTCGCTGCTGCGGCCGCTGCTGCCTCCTGCGCTCCTCGTCAAGCTGCAGCTGCAAAAGGGCCCGCCGCCCGACGCGATCGCCGACGCTTGCGGACCGAGCGGCAGCCCCGTGCCCTCAACATGACGAGCTCTTCCCGCCGCTCCTCTCCCAGCGAGCTCTTCCCCGTGGGCTGGCTCGGGCTGGGCGCATGGCGGAGGATGTATTAAGGGCGCCGCCGCCGCGCCGCCACCTCTGTGGAGGCGCTGCGGCCGCCTCTGGACCTCGCGTGATGGCGCGAGGCTGTAGACTAGGGGTAGCGCCCTCATGACGCGTGAGCTCTCTCGCGGACCGACTCTTATTCGCTCTCGCCGGCGGTCCCCGCCGCGGCCGATCGAGCCCGTCGCTCTCTCTACACTCTAGCGTGGCTGCGTCGCCATAGCGTCTCGTATTTTTACCTAGATAGAGGGGTCTTTTGTGGAGGATGAAGCATATCGTTAACGAGCGGTCGGAGAGAGATTTTTAACCGCCAACTTCTTCTTGCGCGTTGCCGTTGGATTGCGGTCCCGGTCGGCCGGGGGCGGGGCGGCCCGCTCAAAACCGCGCGCGGAGACGGTGACGCGCGAGAACACGCGGCGCCGACGCGGCCTTTCTCTTTTTCGTGCCAGTGTAAAGAAAGAAAGAAAGAAAACAGACAAGCCAAGGGAGGGATGGGAGGACGGCACGCCGCCACCACACAGGGATTTTAAGGAGAGGTGTGTGGTGCGCTAGCCGTCGCCCACCCTAGGCGCTAGGGAGTCTGCCTCTTCCTATCTCTCTTCGCAGTCTCTCGCCGATTCTCGCTGCAACCTTCATGCCACCTCGCGGTCGTCCCACTCTCGTCGTTCTCTCCCTTGTCACTTCCTCCTCTGTCGCGTCGTTCTCTTCTGCCAGTGTGCTGTGATGAGAGAAGCTGTGTGGCGAGAATCTCCTTTTGCTGGGAAGCGATTCGGGGCACGAGGGGAGCACTTGGAGTGGGGGCAGCGATTCCGCTCGACCTCTGTTTGCCTCTCAGGTGAACGTCGCGCCTATCAAGTGGTGTTCAACACCGTGCAGCCGTGATCGCCCATGCGCCACGTGATCGGAACACAGATTGGCGGCACCGTGTTCGTGCTGCTAGGAGCCTTTCGGCCACCGCTGCTGCGCGCTCCCACCACGATCCTCTGTGAGCTGACATCGTGGGCCCCGCAAGAGGACTGGGCGCTGCAGGACCGGGCGCCGCAGTTCACCGTCGGCCGAGGCGGCAGCCAGGCCACCTTCTGGAGCGCACTCACGGCGTCTACGCCCGAACTCGCGGGCAGGACGCCCGAGGAGTGCGAGCGCCGCCTCCGCGAGCTGGGCGCGACCGTGGTGGGCCGCCAGCCGCGCGTGCTGGAGGACTGGAGCCGGCTGGGAGACGGCCGCTACACGGGCCACCTTGATGGCGACAGCTCGACGGTCTGGCTCACGGTTGCGTGCGAGGGACGGCTCGCCTCCGACCCTCGCACCGAGCCCGGCTACATCGAGGCGGTCGGCGGGACCATCTATGAGCTCTCGCGCAGCGGCGGTGCGCCGTGAGGCAGAGTCAGAGGCCTGCCGTCGTCCGCTCTGACCCGACCCCGTCAAGCCTAGGTGCCGCCCCTGCCGTGGCGGAGGCGGACAGCGGCGTGGGCGGAGCCGCCGCTGCAGGCGGAGGCGGCGCGTTGCAGCAGCAGCTTGCGCTGCCTCTTGCGCTCCCGCAGCAGGCGGTCGCTGCACTCGGTGCTGCGATCCTCGCGGGCAGCCTCGGCTTCGGGCTCGGCACGGCGCTCACGCCGCCGCCGCCGCCTCCTGCTCCGACGCCGCCGCGCGTGACGACACGCATCCTCATCGCGCCCTCCGCCTCCAGCGGGCGGGCGGCACCGGCGCAGCAGCCGCAGCAGGCGCCGGCAGAGCCTGCGGCGGCTCCGCGCAAGCTGGCACCGGCGCCGCTGACGGTTGCCGAGACCGCAGCGCGCGCCCCTCGCTTGCGCTTGTCCGCTCACGGATCTCCCGCTGGAATAGGTGACGGAGCAGCGGGAGCGCGCGGAGCTGCGGGTCAGCCGCGACAAGCTGCAGCTGCAGAACCTGCAACAGCGGCTGCAGGAGGACGAGCAGCGCCTGAGCGAGTTCCGCAGGGTCGAGGCGGAGGCAGGCGGGTCGGGGGAGGCCGTCAAGATGGTGTTTCCGCCGGCGTCGTGATCTAACGCGGTAACGGGTACACCCCATCACCCCCACATCAGGTGGCGTTTATTTTTGCGTGGGGCGGACATCATGCTGAAATTCTGGAAAAACCTGACCGGCCGCTGCGGTGCCCCTACCTACCTACCTACCTACCTACCTTACTTATGGGAAACTAAAAAAGAAATCACAGGATGGGTGAAGGTGGGGTACTATACCAACTAGAGTGATGGTTGGTGGTACTATCCTGCAACCACAGTCCTTCCTGTGACATGGCAGGCCACTCTCAAGCCCTACAAGCATCAGATCACCCATTTGGGGAGGGTTGACATCGTGATTTCCGGGGAAAATTTCTTTTTCTGCTGTGAAAATTCCAGCGTGAAGAGAGGGAAAAACCCGACGGGAGGGCCCAGACCCTACCTACCTACCCCGGCATGATGTCCGCCCCACGCAAAAATAATATACACCTGCCCACATGCCTATTTTCTGGTGTAGCCTGCGCCTGTCTGCTATAACCGCAGCCGCTTGCTCGGTAACACTTAAAAAAGAAAGAAAGAAAACAGGCAACCCAAGGGAGGGATGGGAGGACGGCACGCCGCCACCACACAGGGATTTCGGTAACACTTTTCATCTTGCTACCGGGCGCGATTTCTTTTCCAGTTTAATGCCGGATTCAGCTGGGTTCCGAGCAGCAAGTCGAGGCGGAGCAGCAGCCGACCGAGCAGCAAGTCGAGGCGGAGCAGCAGCCGACCGAGCAGCAAGTCGAGGCGGCGGAGCAGCAGCTCGCGGCGGCGCAGCAGATGCTCGAGGAGCTCGAGAAGCTCGAGGCGACGGCTCCGCCGACACTGCTCAGCCTCTCAACCGACGCCGTGTTTGCCATTCTCGATTTCGTCGGCGGCGCCGATCTCTGCTCGTGCGCACGCGTGTCCAGGGCGTTTGAGCTTGTCGCTCACGACGATCTGCTCTGGCTTCCGATCGTCGACCGACTGCCGGCGCGGTGGTCGCGCCCGCTGCGGCTGAAGGAGCCGCGCTGGCGCTACGCCCTGCGCGTTCGGGCCGGCCTGTACTTGGAAGCGGACCGGGCCTGGCAGAAGCTGCTCGACCACCGTAGCGGCCGCTATCCTTTCCTCGCCGAGCTTGGGGCGGTCCACGCCGACCGTGGCGAGTTTGTGCCCGACCGGCGGCTGTCAAGCCGGCTCAAGTACGGGGCCGTGTGCGAGCTCGTCCAACTCGCCGCGGCGAGGGATGGCGGCGCGATAAGCCACCGGTCCTACCGGGCTGCGGCGGAGGAGATGGGCTCCTGGGCGAGCGAGAAGACCGCCACGCCTCCGGATCTGCACATGGTCGTGCGTGAGATCTACAAGACGTGCTACCCCGGCTTCGGGGCGGCGGCGGGCGCCTCCTCGAGCTGGGGCATGGGGGAGACGGGCACGATAGCAGGCGTCGTCGCCCGGAAGGGCGTGGCGGGGCGGGCGCGGCGGGCGAGCGGCGACTTGGGCTCGAGCCCAACGGCGAGGTCGCCGCCTAGCATGGCCGCTGCGAAGGCCGCCGACGAGGAGCTGCGCAAGCGACTCGAGATGTGGCACCTCTGCGACTGGGTCCATGCCCGGTGAGAGGTGGAGATATGGAGCCACACGAGCGTGGCGTGCGGAGCGAGAGGTCACGAGGTGGAGGAGAGACGTGTCACATGGACTTGCAGAGCGAGAGTGCACGAGTATGCATGTATTTTGAGAACGCACACATGAGTCATGAGCACTTTGAGCACTTGGAGTGCAGTCCCGCGGGTATACGGGGTAACCTCACAGACATGGTGAGACGGGCACCTCATTGTTGCCCCACCGCAACCCCACGACATGCACCCCATGCCCTCTGGGGGGAGGCGGGGGCCCCCGGAGGCACCGTGCGCCGCGCCGCAGTGTGCGGAAACGGGGCTCCGGCTCTACTAGTCTCTACTAGCACCAACTTCCCGATTAAGCTAGGTTAATCAGAGGGCAGATTTGGAGAGATCTCGAGGAGTACACACAGATAGACCCTCCAATCATGAGAAACCTCCAACCTGATCGGTCGTACTGACCGCCGACAGATCACTCCAGACAGCAGACAGGCCGACGTCTGCACGTGGCCGGCCGGGCGAGAGGCTTGACACGATCCGACCCTGCGACCCTGACGCTGCTGCTCTAGCTATCAGACAACTGCTGACTGCTGCCACAATGTGTGACCGGTGCTGGCCCACTTGGCGGCCTTCCCGGTCAGTGGTGAGGCGCAGTTCAGAGCTGTCGATGGCGCGATGCCGCACTGGTCCCACATTGGTGACACGAGACCACCACGTTTGCCGGTCCAAGAGAGAGGCACCGGCGCTGTCCTGAGAAAGTGCATGGTCCCTCTTGACTGCCCATGCGCGCGAGGCTGTGTAGGCATAGCCTCGAGAGTGCCAGCAGCCAGTCGCCGAGGCAGTCTGTGACGCGCATTGCGTCAGAAGCGTGCACACGATAGAAGGACACCTTCCTACTGACCGTAGGATCAGGTCGTCACTGAATGCTTGATACTAAGGCCGCGAGCTATGCAGGTGGTCAATTGTGCAGCATGGCACGGTCAGCAGCGCCGACAGGCTGTCGCAAGGCGTGATAGCATGCTGCAAGTACAGCGAATTCCCATGAAACAAGTAAAAAATCGCGCAAAAAAGAAAAAAGTGCCGAAAAAATCGGCGCCTGCGGCGGGCCATGGGACCCCATCTCCCCCCCGCATGGATACCCTCCAGGGCCCCCGCCTCCCCCCAGAGCCCATGCCGCGTGTCTTAGGGGACCCCTAGGGTTCTGAGGGCCGGATTTTTTTAAGACCTTTTAAGAGATTGGCGGCTCCAGAGCCGCCTCGGTGCGTTTAAGAGATTGGGCCCATGCTGCCGCTCCCATTTAAGAGACCATTTAAGAGAATCGCACACCGCGCCCAACCTGAGCCATTTGAGCCATTTAGAGCGTTTAAGCGCGGGGAGGCTGGCGGGCGGGCGGGCGAGCGAGCGGGCGGGCGGGCGGCAGAGAGCGAAGCGCTCTCGGGGCCGAGCGAAGAGCTTTCGCCGCCCGTCGGCAAGTTTTGAGTATAGACCATTCATGGTGTGATCGCGTTTAAGGGCGCGGGGAGGCTGCCGAGTCGTTTGACCGTTTAAGACCGTTTAAGGAATCGGCGGCCCAGCAGCTCTTAAAACTTGCCTAGGCAAGTTTTAAGCCGTTTAAGCCGCAGGCGCCCCAGGGCCCACCCTTTTAAGCCTAGGGGTCCCCTAAGCCGCGTGTCCCCGCGCATGACACGTTCTCTTTATTTCGGTTTTCGCTGTGCAGTGCTACTTCCCACACAAGTCACAGCCACACGAGAGTGCACACACACACGGTCTGAGGGCGAGTCTCCACGATGCACACAATCTTTCGACTTTCGACAAACCGACAAGAAGACTCTCACAAACCGACACGCGACACCCCTACCGTGCCCCCCAAAAACAGAGCCCAGTCCCCACACGCGTACACGCACAATTGTGACCTGATTGCCCACCGAGTCACCCAGGCGCCCCGTTGCCCCGAGTCTGGCCAACCTCGGCTCCTGGCCGGCCTTCAGCCGTCGCTAAGCTACGCCGAGCCTTGATGCGCCCCTCGAGCACCGCTGTCCGATTGTCAGGGTGCTCCTCCAGCGCCGTCATCAGACGGGTGTACGGGGCGTTGGCCTGGGCGAGCAAGCTTGGCTGTGAACGGGGAGAGCGCAGGTGGTGCGGGCGAGAGGGCGGGCTCGCCTCGTGGTTCTCGTTCGGTAGGTGTATCCACGCCGCCACGACGAGGCCGCGGAAGAGCAGAGCGCCGACGAGGATGCGCAAGCCGAGCCGCCAGGTAAAGAAGCGAGGAATCGAGTCCACCTCTTCCTGCCAGCGCCGCCGCTCCTCGGCCTCCTCCTCCTCCATCGCCCGCCGATGCCACTCCCGAAACGCCTCCTCGTCCCACTCGGCGCCTCCGGGCGCGGCGTGGGCCCGGCCTGCTGCCGCCCCGCCGCAGCCGCCGGCCGACGAGGCGTGCTGCCGCAGCAGCTCGTACGCCAGGTTGACCTCACGGAACTGGGCCGCGGTGCCTCCACGGTCGGGGTGGGTCGCGAGAGCGCTCCGTCGCCACGCCTGCTTGATCACAGAAGCGTCAAGTCCAGCGTCGCCGAGGCCGAGCACGCGCCGTGCATGTGCAGCGCAGGTGATGCTACGCACGAACACGAAAATTGGAGTACGGAGGCGGTGGCGTGTGCCGCCGCGGCCGCCATCCGACGCGCCGTGAGTTTTTCTTTTTAGGGCCGACACCTGCACCAGCAGATTTTGGAAGGCCGTTAGCCGCGATTTCTCTTCTCACAGGAGGCCGCGGCACTCGTCGCGGCAGTTCGCCTCGCTGTGGGAGCACTGCGCCCGTGTCAGAAAAGATGGGCGTCCCCGCATTCTACAAGTGGCTCGTGACCAAGTATCCCAAGGTTGTCAGCGACTGCATCGAGGACCGCCCCACCTGGAACGAGGCCGGCGAGAAGGTGCCTGTCGACACGAGCCGCGCGAACCCGAACGGAGTGGAGTTCGACAACCTGTTCCTCGACATGAATGGCATCATCCACCCGGCGTCGCACCCGGAGAACCGGCCGCCGCCCGAGACGGAGGACGACATGAACCTCGCCGTCACCGACTACCTCGAGCGCGTCTTTGCCGCCGCGCGGCCGCGCAAGCTGCTCTTCATGGCGATCGACGGTGTGGCGCCGCGCGCCAAGATGAACCAGCAGCGCGCGCGGCGCTTTCGCTCGGCGCAGGAGGCGGCGGAGAAGGAGGCGGAGGAGGAGCGGCTGCGGGGCGAGTGGGAGGCGGAGGGGCGCGAGGTGCCGGCCCGCAAGGAGGGGCGCGCCTTTGACTCGAACGTCATCACTCCGGGCACGCCCTTCATGGACCGGCTGGCGCAGCACCTGCGCGCCTTCATCCACCTCAAGCTGAGCACGGACCCCGGCTGGCGCGGCATCAAGGTCGTCCTCTCGGACGGATCGGTGCCGGGCGAAGGCGAGCGACAAGCCTCCCCTCTCTCTCTCTCTCTCTCTCTCACACACACACACACAGAGACCGCCTCTCCCCCCTCCCTCTCTCGCCCGAAGAGCCCTTCCGGCGGCGGCGGCGCTGAAGCGTGCCTCGCCCGCCTCCCCGCCGCGACGGCAGGCGAGCACAAGATCATGGAGTACATCCGCCAGCAGCGCCTCTCGCCCGACTACGACCCAAACACACGCCACGCGCTGCACGGCCAGCGACGCTCGCCGACTGCTCCGTGGCCCGCTGCGCGTCCATGACGCGTGCAACACACGCCCACAGGCCTCGACGCCGACCTGATCATGCTCTCGCTCGCGACGCACGAGCCCCACTTCTCCATCCTGCGCGAGTTCGTCGGCCATCCCGCCCCAGCAGCACCTCCCGAGCAGTGAAGCGCTCGAGTGTGAAGTACCCCGACCCGTTCGGAGTAGGCAAGCCCGTCCAGCAGCACCAGTCCCTCACCATACCATGTTAATCTTATGATATATTGTACTAGGCAAGCCCGCCCAGCAGCACCAGTCCCTCACTGAGCGGGTGACTGCGGAGCTCGAGAAGGCCGCCGAGGCGGAGGTCAAGGGCGGCGAGGCGGCGGCGAACGCCGAGCCTGCAGGGCCCCCGAAGGGTGGACAGCGGAGCCCCGCCGGCCGGCCGGCCGCGACGCGTCCAGGACACGTCCACGGCTCCTAACCCAGGCGGGCCAACCCCCTTCCAGTGGCTGCACGTGCCGGTGCTGCGCGAGTACCTTGCCAAGGAGTTCGAGCCGGGCGCCAAGGACGCGCCGGACTACTCGACCCTGGAGGGCGAGAGATGGCCGAGAGATGGCCGAGAGATGGCCGAGAGATGGCCGAGAGATGGCCGAGAGATGGCCGAGAGATGGCCGAGACGAAGACTCGTCCACAGGCGGGTGGAGCCTCGAGCGGCTGATCGACGACTTCATCTTCCTCTGCTTCTTCGTGGGCAACGACTTCCTGCCTCACCTCCCGTCGCTCGACATCCGCAACGGCGCGATCGACACGCTGTGCGACGTGTACAAGGGGCTGCTTCCTCAGCTAGGAGGGTGGATCTGCGACGGAGGCACCACGCACCTCGCCCGCTGCCAGCGCTTCTGCGCAGAGCTTGGCACGTACGAGCAGGCGCCCCCCCCCCCCCCCCTCCACTCCCCTCCGCCCCCTCCGCCCCCTCCACCCCGCCCCCTCTCTGCGGCGGCGCGGCGGGGCGCGTCTCCCGGGGGCGCTTCAAGGACCGCCGCCCCCGTGCCGTGCCCACGAGCTGCTCGGACCGAGATTACGCGAGATTACCCGAGATTACACCGCGAGATCCCATCTCGCTGCAGGAGCTGCTCGACCGGCACCGCGTGTCCGAGGAGCGCTTCAAGGACAAGGCCCGCCGCCGGAAGGAGGAGGTGCGCTCGCGCTTCCTCGGCGGAAGGCACGCGGCGCTGATGCAGCGCGTCGCCGAGTACGCCCTCGCGCCCCAGGGCCAGGCGGCGCACGTCATGCTGATGCGCGGCGGCAGCGGCGGCAAGGGCGGCGGCGGCGCGGCGGGCGACGAGGACGGCGCGGCGGCCCGCATCGCCGCCCTTGGCCGCGACGACGCCGCGCTGCTCGAGCTGCTCGAGACGATCCGCGAGTTCGCTGCCGCGCCCGACTGCGCGCCCGCGAAGAAGATGCCGTCGGGGCTCAACGGGTTCCAGCGCGCGATGGCGAGATGACCCGAGATTGCCCGAGATTGCCCGAGATTGCCCGAGATTACTCAACGCGGTCCAGCGCGCGATGGCGCGGCCGCGCGAGGAGCGCGGCGCGGTGCGGCTGCAGCGGGCGTGACGGGGCTTGCTTGCTGGCAGGTGCACCCGTACTGCGAGGGTTACCCGAGATTGCCCGAGATTACCCGAGATTGCTTGCTGGCAGGTGCACCAGTACTGCGAGGGTTACCCGAGATTGCCCGAGATTACCCGAGATTGCTTGCTGGCAGGTGCACCAGTACTGCGAGGATTACCCGAGATTGCCCGAGATTACCCGAGATTGCTTGCTGGCAGGTGCACCAGTACTGCGAGGATTACCCGAGATTGCCCGAGATTACCCGAGATTGCTTGCTGGCAGGTGCACCAGTACTGCGAGGGTTACCCGAGATTGCCCGAGATTACCCGAGATTGCTTGCTGGCAGGTGCACCAGTACTGCGAGGGTTACCCGAGATTGCCCGAGATTACCCGAGATTGCTTGCTGGCAGGTGCACCAGTACTGCGAGGGTTACCCGAGATTGCCCGAGATTACCCGAGATTGCTTGCTGGCAGGTGCACCAGTACTGCGAGGGTTACCCGAGATTGCCCGAGATTACCCGAGATTGCTTGCTGGCAGGTGCACCAGTACTGCGAGGGTTACCCGAGATTGCCCGAGATTACCCGAGATTGCTTGCTGGCAGGTGCACCAGTACTGCGAGGGTTACCCGAGATTGCCCGAGATTACCCGAGATTGCTTGCTGGCAGGTGCACCAGTACTGCGAGGGTTACCCGAGATTGCCCGAGATTACCCGAGATTGCTTGCTGGCAGGTGCACCAGTACTGCGAGGAGCTGTGCGTGCGCGAGGAGACGCGAGGCGAGGAGCCGGACCGGGCCATCTGGCTGTACAAGGTGGGCGAGGGCGCGAACGAGTCGGCGGCGGAGCGCTTCAAGCGCGAGCTGTCTGAGCTGATCAAGGAGAAGAACACGGCGCCCGAGCAGGAGGACGAGGCGCGGCCGTCGCCACTCCGCCACTCTCCTCGTCGCCCCTCGCCCCCTCCCGCCTGCACGCCGCCGGCCCCCCCCTCCCGCCCGTGGCCCTTCACCATCTCGAGCGCGCCGCCCTCGCCTGTCCGCAGGTGCGGCTCGGTGTGCCCGGCTGGAAGGACCGGTACTACGACGCCAAGTTCCCGGGCGTCGACGACGCGGGCCGGCGGGAGGTCGCCGCCGCGTACGTGGAGGGCCTGCAGTGGGTGATGCGGTACTACTACGACGGCTGCGCCTCGTGGAAGTGGTTCTACCCGTACCACTACGCCCCCTTTGCCGCCGACCTCGCCGCCGCCATCGACCCCGGCCAGCCTGCCGACTTCGAGCTCGCGCGCCCCTTCCGCCCGTTCGAGCAGCTGATGGGCGTGCTGCCGCCCCGCTCGGCGCACGCGCTGCCGGAGCCGCTCGCGCAGCTGATGACCGACCCGGGCTCCGAGATCGCAGACTTCTACCCCGAGGACTTCGCGCTCGACCTCAACGGCAAGAAGTTCCTCTGGCAGGCGGTCGTCCTGCTCCCCTTCATCGACGAGGCGCGAGATTACCCGAGATTACCCGAGATTACCCGAGATTACCCGAGATTACCCGAGATTACCCGAGATTACCCTTCATCGACGAGGCGCGGCGCGCCGACGCGATGCGCGACTCTCTAGTCGAGATGCTCCTCACCCGCCCTCTCTCCTCCTCGAGCAGGCGCGGCTCGTCGACGCCATGGGAGAGCGCTTGCGCAAGCTCTCCGAGGACGAGCGCCGCCGCAACTCGGTCCGCGGGCACGCCCCGGCTTCTGGCTAACGAGCCTCTCCTCCCCAACCTCTCGAGCCCGCTCGCTCGTTAGGTCGGCGAGCCCGTCCTCTTCCTCTCGGACGCGCACCCGCTCTGCGCGCCGCTCGTGGCGTCCTACGGCCCGCCGCCCGCCCCCCTCGTCCTCACGTCGTGCACGGAGCACTCGGCGTCGGTCGCTGGCACGCTGACACCGCTGCCCGGCGCGCCGCTGCCGGGCGGCTTGTGCGAGCCCCCCCCCTTCTGCGGCATCGAGGTCGCAAAGGCGCTGCGCCCCTTCACCACGAGCGCCGCCGGAGCAACCTTCACCCTGCCGCCGCCGGCCAAGCACGTGCCGCAGCTGCTGCCGGGCCTCGTGCCTCCCTCGCCGCTCCTCGGCGCGTGCGACGCACCGTGCGAGTCGAAGCGCTACGTCCGCGCGCGCGGACGCGGCCCGCCCGGCGGCTACGGCGGAAAGGGGGGTGGCAAGGGCGGCTTCGGCGGCCACGGCGGTGGGGGTCGCGACCTCGGCTACCGCCGCCTCGAGGGCGACCGGGCGCCGGTGGACGAGCAGGCCGTCCTCGATGCGATCGCGCGGCGCGCGGCGGCGCGGCAGGCGCGCGAGTTCCAGGCCGCCGACCAGATCCGCGCGCAGCTCCTCGCGGGTGGGGTCGAGGTAGACGACCGCACCAAGACGTGGTGCGTACGCGACGCGCGGCTGGCGGCGGGCCCGGTGAGCCCGCCACCAGGGTACTACTCCCCCTCCTCCGCCTCCCCCTCCTCTCCTCCGCACCCCTACGCCGGCCGCAGCCCGCCGCACCCCGGCGGCGGCGGCGGCGGCGGGCGCGAGAACACACACGTCCGCTTCGGCGGCGAGGGCGGCAGGCACGATCGCGGCGGGGGAGGGGCCGGCGGGGGAGGGCCCGGGCCGGTGCGGCACGGCCGGTCGGACGGGCGCCACCAGCCGTACGCCAGGCCGCCGCCCGGGCCGCCCCCCGGGTACGGCGGCGGCGGCGTGGGCGGCGCCGCCTCGCTGCTCCGGCAGCAGCTCGGCATGTCGCGCCCGCAGCCGCCACACAACCCGTACCAGCATCAGGCGCCGCCGCCGTACCAGCATCACGCGCCGCCGCCGTACCCCTCCCACGCGCCGCCGCCGTACCAGCACCACCCGCCGCCGTATCAGCACTTGCCGCGCCCGCCGCCGGGCGCGCCGCCGCCGTACCAGCACGGCGGCGGCAGTGGCGGGCCGCCGCCAAGGCCGAGGCAGGGCGGCTCGAGCGACGCCAACCGGAGCGCCGCGGACTTGCTACGGCAGCAGCTGATGCGTCGCTGACGCCTCTCTGCGGAGCGCGACTCGCGGGGCGGGCGGAAGTGTCCCCTGCACTGGCTCGCTCGCTCGCACCGCGCAGCTCTCGCTCTTGCCTCTTCTCCCCCCCGCCTCCCCCGCGCCCCGCGGCCGCTTCATCGTATAAAAATGAGGCGGCTTGTGTGTTGAAGTGCACTGACGCGTGTGAGACCGACCCACCTTTGCACCTACTAAGAGACACACCTTCCCTTATAGCACCCCCGCTTCACAGGTTCAGTGCAGGAGCTGAGGAGTCTGACGCGCACCGCCAGACACCGCGGTCACCGCCGCTCCAAGAATGGTTTTAAAGCAACCCGCCCTTTCCCCCACCTCCACCTCCCCTACCTCCTCTCTCTGAACCCTGCCTGATGGTCGCCGGCCGCGCGCGCGTGCGCGCCGAGCGGCCGAGTCGGCGTGCGACTGCCTCGGCTTCCCAGCGAAGGGGCGGCGCCCCCGACGCGCGGGCGCTGCCCTCGTACGCGGAGGCCGCGCTGGCGGCGAGGGCGGATGCACCCTCCTCGATGGCGGCGCCTGGCCATGGCTCTGCGGAGCGCATGTCCCTGAGGAAGAGGCCTACGGCACGCGGAGCAGCGGGTGAGGGGGGGCGAGGGGGCGAAGCAGCCGACCTCGCCGCCGCGCTCGAGCACCGCCCATGCCGCGCACGGGCGTCGAGGCGAGGAAGGTGGCCGAGAGGGCGGGGACGCGGCACGAGCCGGCCGCGCGGCGCAGCGGCCTCGGGAGCCACCTTCCTCGGCCCGGGTGGACGACGCTCACCTGCGGCGGCGGGAGGGTGGCGAGTCGGGGTCGGGCTCCGAGGGCGGGCCCCCTCTCGCCCCCTCTCGCCCCCTCTCGCCTCCCTCTCGCCCCCTCTCGCCTCCCTCTCGCCTCCCTCTCGCCCCCTCTCGCCCCCTCTCGCCACAAGCCGCCTCTCTCTCGCTGCTGCTCGCCTCGATGGAGCCTCCTCCGACGTCGCCTCCTCCCCGCAGCTCCGAGCCGGCGAGGCGCGCCTTGCTCGCCAAGTGCAGCGCCGAGAGGAGACTCGCCTGCTGCGCTCGCAGCCGCGCGCCGCTCCACCCTAAGACGCGCCCCCGCCGCCTCCCGCCGCCGCCGCCACTCACGTCGCCGCCGCCGCCGGCTCGCGCCGCCACCGCCTCCGCAGCGCGCTCCATGGCCGACTGTGAGGGTGCGCCTGCGCCGAGCAGCACCAGACACTTCCTAGACACTTCCTAGACACTTCCTAGACACTTCCAGACTGTGAGGGTGCGCCTGACCCGAGCAGCACCACGCGGCCGAGCGGGTGTGGGAAGGGGCGCGCCGCCACCGCGACGGGCTGCCCCGGCCGCAGCGCCTGCAGCAGCCATCTTCACCCTCAGAGGAGGAGCAGGGGGCGAGGCTGGCACGGGCCAGCCTCGCGCCTCGTCGTCTCCGCCGCCAGAGGGGGCCTTGGCGGCGGCGGCGGCGGCGCGGCGGCGCTGTCTTCGGCCGCGGCGGCCTGCGATGCGGTCGGCGAGCCTCGCGTCGCGGCGCATCGTCTCGACGAGCGAGTCGGAGAGGAGCGACGTGAGCAGGAACGGGCCTGAGCGCCGGAGGAGGAGGAGCGGTCACAGACGTGTATGGAGCGGCAAACGGACCCCGGCGGGCAGGGGCGCGGCGGGCAGGGGCGGCGGGCAGGGTTTGCACGCCTAGGTGGTTCGCCGCGGCGCAGCGCTCCTCCGCCGCCCGCCCGCCGCCCGCCGCACACCGCTCGTCGCTGCACGACACGATGACGTGCAGAGGCCACCCTCCGGCGCTAAACGCGTCGGCGAAGTCCCAGATGGCGGAGGAGTCGCACAGGTCGAGCTGTGCGGTGACGCAGCCAGCCTCCACGAGCTCCGGCTCCAACCGCCTCCGCCTCCGCCTCCGCCCACCGCCGCCCGCTGCAGTCAGCGCCTGCGCCGACGCGGCGGCTCTCCTCTCGGCGGCGCGGCGGTTGACAAAGGCGACACGGTGGCTGCACTCGTCCGGCCTCTCGCAGGTTAGCAGCACGCGTGCACCCAGCTGCACCAAGCCCTCGGTGACGTCTAGCGCCAGGTCGGTGTCACGCTGCGCCATGACGAGAGCGCAGCGGCCGGCCAGCAGCGAGCGCACCTCGTCCTCGCTCAGCCCGCCGGTCGCGCCGAGCTGACCGGGCTGGCGGCCATCGGGCTGTCCGCCGGCACTGGTGCCGCGCGGGGAGAATGGGACGAAGGCGGCTCGCACACAGGCGGCCACGTAGAGGAGGAGGGCGGGAAGCGGGCAGCCACGTCGACGCCGAGCCATCGCCAAAAACCGCCGGAAAAACGTCGGCGCGGGTTGTCATAAGTCTTCCGGGTGTGGTATAAGCGCGACTGCTGACTCCTAGTCAGGGCCAAGGCGGCCGGCACTTCTCCTCCAGTGTTTTTTAAACCTCAAAAGAGTGGCCGCCTCCCCTCCAGGTTGGCGATCGACCTCGAGACGGCTCGCTGCACGAGCGCAACCCGCTCTGCGGCGCCCTGCGCCTCGAGCACCGCCCCGCGCACCTCGGTCGAGACGCCGAGGGAGGGCAGCGGGTTGATGAGCGCGCCGCCCCACAGCGCGAGCGCCGTCGGCGCCTCGGGCGGCGGCTTCGGCCCGAGGTCACGGCACACCCGCGCGAGGAGGAGCGCGGGGTCGAGCCGCAAGTCTCCGCGGCGGGCCCTCGCCCCCGCCGTCACGGCCGGGTCGTCGTAGGTGCTGCGCTCGGCCGCGAGCCTCCTCCACGCCTCTAGGTCGGCGGAGAGGCGTGCCGCCGCCTCCACCAGCGAGGCGGGCGGAGGGGAGTCGCCCTCCGCAGGCCACGCGGCGTCGCACACGCCGCCCGGCTCGTAGAGCGGCGCCTCGTCGGCGTCCGCCAGCACCTGCGCCGATCGAGGTGGGAGTGCAGCCGGGAGGAGGGGCGGCAGGAGCGAGGGGGAGGGAGAGTGGCGGCGGGGCGAGGGAGCAGCACCTCGAAGGGCGTGAGCGACCACTCGGTGTGGTGCGCCGCCTCCGCCGCCGCAGCGGGCATGGCAGCGGCCGCCGCCGCGGACGGCGCGCCGCGGTCCACGAAGCGCTCGACGCCCCACCCGAGCGCTCTCTCGGAGACGATCGAGTCGTCGTACTCGCGCCTCCACCGCCCCACCCGCAGCTGCAGCCCGGTGGGCGGGCCGCGGAGGCGGACGCGCCGGCGGCCGACGAGCAGCGCGCTCACCTGCCCTCGGCGGGCGGCGCGGGTGAGGGGGAGAGGGCTGGCGCGGTGCGGCGCTATCGCTCTCACCGAGGTGGGCGTGCTATCGCTCTCACCGAGGTGGGCGTGCTATCGCTCTCTCGCGGCGCGTCGACGAGAGAGACTCGCACGAGGACTCCCGACCGCCGCAGCCGCTTCTGGCCAAAGTGGAGGGAGGTGACGACGAAGACGCCGCCGAGGCCAACATCTCGGAGCAGGCGGCAGAAGGTGTCGTCGTCGGTCTCCACCCTGAGCTGCTGCCGAGGCAGCATCGCGTCGAGACAGACGACCGGCAGCGCGCCTCCGCCCTCCTCGTATATCTCTTGCTCCCGCGTGTCAGCAGCCGCGAGGTCCGCCACGCGGCTTTGGAGCACGAGCTTCTCCTGTGCGAGCTTCTCCTCCTCCGCCCGAAGCTGCGATGCGATTCGGCGGCGGAGCACCTCGTCGTCGTTAGCGGCGATGAGGCGGCAGCGAGCGGCGGACGGCCGATATAGCAGCGGCGCGATGAGCAGGAGTGGGAGGGTGCGCATGGCTCGCTTGCGCGGTTCACGGATTTACTCCCAAAGGGCGGCAGCACAAGGGGTGCCCGATATGTGGTCTCTTTACCCGCAACTCTGGCACTAACCCAGGTAGGATTCCTACACCAGCCGCCTAGCCGCTGGCGAGTAGAGCCCACGCCTGCTACCGGTATTCACATTCACAGGGGGGGGTCCTTTTTTTTCCAGACGGATGCTCCCCCCCTGTGAAAAAGTGAGGCGTGGTCTCTACTCGCCAGGCCTAGCCGTGAGGCTTGCTCCGTGAAAAAGAAAGTTATGTCCGCCGTGGGCCACTTTTTCTTTCTTTATTTCTTTCTGGGTGCCACTCGGGCCTCGGGGCACACCACACTCCACAGCGCACAGGGGACCAAAATCCATGACCACTCGGGAAAAATAATCGGAGGTGTGTCGTGAGATTGAGAGTGAGTTTTTGGCAATTCAAACATAAATAAGACGCTCGACATCTCTGGGGGGGCGCGGGAGCCCTAGAGGGCACCCATGAGCTGGAAGGCTGCCATCGGTCGGTGTCTTGTCGAGCCGACGACGCAGAGGACCATTGCGCGACGCCGCTGTCTCACCCCCTCGACGCCTTTGCTGCCGCGTCAGCGCTTGCTTTGGCTTCGGCCTCGTCAAGCCAGGAGCTCTTGAGGCGCTGTGCGGATATCAATCCAAGCCCAAAGTTGAAGCGCCTCGTTCCCGCCTGCTGCGTGCACTCCTTTACCATGTAGCCTGCTTCGACATCCCATGCGGTCCCGTTCAATCCCGCCACGCCCGCTGGGGCGTGCTGGTCGCGCTCCCAGCGCAGTCTTGAGCTCAAAAAGTGCCACAACTGCCTCACGCCCACCGAGTCAGCATCCACGATGTCGTGGAACAGCAAGAGGCGGCACATGGGCTGGAAGAAGCGGACGTCCTCGACCACGTGTTTGAAAGTGTGCGATGCGTCGATGAAGCATAGGTCGAGCTTTGACGTCTCACGGTCAGCAGGGCCGAAGGCCTCCGCCAAATGCTCGTGATACCACGCCACTGCCTTGGCGCGATCTTCATAGAGCACTGGCCGCCACGTGCGCGTCTTCTTCTCGCCTGGCTTGCGCGGCAGGTACTTTGGCTTGCCGCCTCCGTAGTTCACATGGAAGCCGTGCTTGTGCCGGGCCATGAGTGCCTTTATGCAGCCTGTTCGCATGTCGGCAACATCAAAGCTGGCCGAGCTAAAGTCCTGCCCTGCCCAACGGCTCGCTTCGAAGACCCTTCGTATGTAAGCAGCGAAAAAAAGGCCCGACCACCCAAACCACGCTCCAATCTCGGCAAACGTGCGCACTCGCGTGGACAGACCGGCCAGTCCGCCGAGCATGCAGCCCACTTGCTTCGGCATCTGGAGCATTCCGAAGTTTTGACGCTTGTGCATCCACTGTTCCTCCGACCCCTCTTTTCCTCCGAATCCATACAGCGGTCGGGGGTCACGCGCGAGCCCCGCTTCACGCACCAAGTCGGTAAGCACGCTGCTGTTGCCCAGGCTTCCGAGAGGGAGGTGGCTGATTGTGTCGAGGACTCTCGCAAAGATTTTCTCCTCTGGGTGCCTCGTGCAAGCGTTTGGAATGAAGTCGTGGGTTTCGCTGATTGCGCTGTGTGGCTCATTCAGACCGTGTGCTCTGCTGCCGAGCTCGTCGTCTGCCATGGGCTCTGTTGATGACGGCGTAAAAAGTTTGCCCGGGGGCACGTACAAGAGTTTCAAGCCGGCGTCCCGTTGCTGGCGGCGCTGGTAAAACGTTCGCGAGATTTCTTGTTTTATGTCCGCCCGCCGCGAGGGCGTGCCTGGATCCTCGTGGGGGGTCCTCGTGGGGGACGACCTGACTGATCGTACGGCCAGTAGGAAGGTGTCCTTCCAGCTGCGTGCACGCTTCTGACGCAATGCGTGTCACAAACTGCCTCGGATTGGCTGCTGGCACTCTCGAGCCTATGCCAAAACAGCCTCGCGCGCATGGGCAGTCAAGAGGAACCACGCACCTTCTCAGGACAGCACCGGTACCTCTCTCTTGGACCGGCAAACGTGGTGGTCTCGTGTCACCAATGTGGGACCAGTGCGGCATCGCGCCATCGACAGCTCTGAACTGCGCCTCACCACTGACCAGGAAGGCCGCCAAGTGGGCCAGCACAGGTCGCACATTGTGGCAGCAGTCAGCAGTGCATGTCTGATAGCTAGAGCAGCAGCGTCAGGGTCGCAGGGTCGGGTCGTGTCAAGCCTCTCGCCCGGCCGGCCGCATGCAGACGTCGGGCTGTCTGCTGTCTGGAGAATGTCTGGAGTGATCTGTCGGCGGTCAGTACGTTCAGATCAGTACGACCGATCAGGTCGGAGTTTTCCGATGGTTGGAGGGTCTATCTGTGTGTACTTCTTGAGATCTCTCCAATCTGCCCTCTACTCAACCGTACTCATTCGGGAAGTCGGTGCTAATAGAGACTAATAGAGAGCCGGGGCCCCGTTTCCGCACTGCGGCGCGGCGCACGGTGCCTCCGGGGGCCCCCGCGCCCCCCCAGAGCTCGACATGAACGGACATGACGAGGCCGGCCCCAATTCCAGCCGAGCACACAGCTCCCATTATGGCGACGAGCCGGCCAGCCAGTGTAGCGGTAGTTGGGCGCGAGGGAGGTCCACGATGTACATGTACATGTAGGCACGTACGGATGATCACGCCGTGGCGATGGCAGAACTGCTCCCACCAGCGCGGCGAGGTAGGGAAGCAGCACATGCACATGTGCATGCACATGTGCTGCACATGTGGTTGTCCCACCACACCGGGTAGCAGGCCCACGCGCCGGCTGGCGGCGTCACACGCCGCCCGTTCTGAATGCGGACCATCTCTTGCTTATATCGACCCGCGAATCTCCCCCCATGCGGCCTATCGTGCGCGGCGGCGGCGAGGGCGAGGGTGGAGCGGGCGTGGGGGTGGCGATGCCGATGGTGGGCGAGGGTGTTGGGTGTTGCAACTCTTGGCGGCGGGGCGCGGGCGTCCGACTGGTTTTCTTCTTCGAGCTCGCGACCTCCCAGAAGCCTCTCTCTCCGCCCAGCAAGCAGCATGCTCTGCCAGCTCCTCGCAGTCTCCGCCGTCGGTGCGACGCACATCTCGCGCGCGCCCGCAGCGCCCTCTGCGCTGGCCCCGCCGCCACTGGCCTCCGCGGAGCCCGCTCCGCCGGGGCGCCCACCGCGCTGCGCTGCGCGCCCACACTGCAGCGCCCCTGTGCTCTTGGCTGTGACCCTGCCCCCTCGCGCAGCTCGATTTCGGCCGCCTTGCCCGCCCGGCCACTCCTGACGCGCCCACGCCTCTGTGCCAGGCTTCATGGCTCCCGCCGTCAGCCGAGTGGGCACCTCGCGCGTTGCTGCGGCGCCCGTGATGTCTGCCGTCGATGAGGTGATGGACAAGCTCAAGTCGATGACCCTGCTGGAGGCGGCGGAGCTCGTGAAGGCGATCGAGGAGACCTTCGACGTCGACGCCTCGGCCGCCGCCGGTGGCGGCATGATGATGGCGATGCCGGCGGGCGGCGCGGCGGGCGGCGAGGCGGGCGCTGCGGCTGCTGAGGAGAAGACGGAGTTTGACCTGGTGCTTGACTCGTTCCCGGCGGACAAGAAGATCGCGGTGCTCAAGGTTGTGCGCGAGCTGACGGGCCTCGGCCTGAAGGAGGCGAAGGAGAAGGTCGAGAGCGCGCCGTGCCCGATCAAGGAGGGCGCGCCCAAGGCGGAGTGCGAGGAGGCCGTCAAGAAGCTCGAGGAGCTCGGCGCCAAGGCGGTGCTCAAGTAGAGCGCCACCGACCTCTATTTTCACCTTTAGCCCCTCACCGGGTCACCGCCTGGCGACGCGTGCTCTTGACAGTCACGTGAGTCCGGCGCTGACTGCTTTGCTGCCTCTGCTTGCGTGTGCGTGAGTTACGATACCACGAGTATATTTGGGCCAACTCTTCCAGTCGCACAGCGCTCAAAAGAGATTACCCGGAGAGAAGGGCGGGAGACCGTCGCGGTCGGAGACCTCTCTCGAGAGACCTCTTTGTCTTGCCCGCGGAGCGCTCGCCGCGCGCGGCGCGCGCGCCGCGCCGCCCCGGCGCCCCCGTTGGACCCCCCCCCGGGCGCCGCGCGGTCCAACGGTCGCGGTGGCCGGTCCCGGCCCGCGGCCGCTCTCTGGCCGCTCTCCGCGAGCGATCGACATCCGCGAGAGACTGGGTGATCCCTCGAGGGTGATCCGTGTTGCGACTTGCCGTGTATATACGCACTCACAGCCGTCGGTCTCGTCCACTCACCAAACTGCGCACTGGGCGGCAGTGTGCGCGCGGAGGTCATACAGGAACCGACACCGCAGCGGGCCCGGCGCTGGCCACTGCACACTCACTCTTCTCAGCTGGCTTCTCCTCCCGGCGGCGTGTATATCCCGCTGGAGGGCATGTAGAGCTCGTCCGCCGTCGCCTCGGCGGCCGGCGAGTAGGCGCCGAACTCGAGCGAGGCCGAGACGCCCGCCCGGTCCCGCACCGCCTCCTGGGACGTGTCGTGCAGCCAGTGGACAGCGGCGAGGTCGGCCCCCGCCTCGAGGTAGGCGAGGCACTCCGACTCCGGGTCGTCCCTCCGCGCGTAGGCCGTGGCGAGCGCCTCGAACGCCTTCTGCGCCGCCGAGAAGGTGCCCTGGCCTGCGGCGGGAGGGCGAGCAAAGGTGCGAGTAGAGCCTCTCCTCTCCCCTCTCTCCTGCAGCCGGGATCTCTTCCGCACCGAGCACGGAATGACCCGGACGCGGCACGCCCCGCGCCACAGCCTCGACGGCGCCGGCCGCCTCGTCGCCGAACTCGCCGAGACTGGATAACCGCTCCCACGCCTGCTCCTCGACAACCCAGCCGCAGAGCCCTGTCAGAGGCGCCAGGCCCATCACGCGCTCGGCACCGCGCTGCGCCAGCTCGGCGCGCGCCGCCTGCCGGAGGAGGCGGCGGCGGCATATTAGTTGAGCTACACAGCAGTGGACGTTGGCTGGGCGGGCTCGGCCGGCAACCTCCACGAGCGGCTTGGCAGCCAGCGAGAGAGGCAGGCCCGGGTGGCAGCTCGCCCCAAAGATGAGGGCCGTCCGCAGGTGGCCTTCGTCCCTTCGCTGCTTTGGCGGCGCCGGGAAGAGCGCGGCGCGCAGCACGCCCAAGTTTACCTCGTCGACCCGCAGCGCGAAGCCAAAGGAGTCTCCCGCCGACTCGGTCTGCTGAGGAGCACCGGTGGCGACAATCCACCTCCCAGACAGCTCAGCAGCCAGCGAGCTGCGGTCCGCGAGAGAGGCGCTACGCGCTGCCTCGAGGCGGGTTGCGTCCGCCTTGGTCGTGTAGCGGGCGAGGCGGGCCGAAGAGGCGACCAGCGACCTTCTCATGTGTTGGAAGATTGAGGGATGCCGCAAGTTTCTTTTTGCCGCCACGCGCAGCGCGGCGTCGCTCAGGAGGGGCGCCAGCTCGTCGATGAAGGCGCACAGCTGTCTGGCGAGAGGTTTGCGCTTGCGAGCGGGCCATTTGCAAAGAGAAAAGGTGATGCCAACAAAACAGCTTGAGCGGGCCGTTCTGAGCTTGGGCTGACCTTCGTGGCACGTGGGGCCGAGACGGTGCCTCTTGGCCCCGCCGAAGAACGGCCCGCATCCTCACTAACCTGCCCAGGCCGGGTGCATTGCGCCGGAGCTCGCGTATTGTGGCGGAGCCTGAGCCGGCGCCGCCTGGGCGGGGTAGGCGCTGTAGTAGGCGGGCGCAGTCGTCTGCACGCTGCCTAGGCCGACGGCGCTTGTCCTGCATGGCATTGTCCAGCGGTGCGCAACGTAGCAGCCCTTGGCGAGCTGCTCCTCCTTGGCTGCATTTACCATCGCGGTGTCGTGCATCTCCTGCATCTGTTTTTGGTTCTGCATCTGCTGCTGTGCAACGAGGCCCGCGCCGAGGAGTCCGGCTCCAAGCAGCAGGGAGGAGTCGGAGCTGCGGTGCCAGCCGCGCTCCCCGGCGGCGACCACGGTGCCCCCAGACTCCTTCTTGACGGGGGGCACCTGGAGGGGCACACACGTGCGTAAAGTAAAGCCTGCGATCCGCGCTGATTCCGCGTGATCGGGGTTGGGGGGGGGGGGGCGGGGCTTGTTCGAGGAACGGGGCGGCGACCAACGTTCTGAGGCGTGGCACTGACGGGAACGGCAACAGTCGTTAATGGCAGGACAGGCTCCCAGGGGCTCCTGTGCCGCTATGAATCACCACGAAACGTGTATTAGGTGCCATGGCAGTCAAAGCGGGGAGGGGTAGCGCACTGGCGAGGTCAGCATGTTTGTCGTGGACAGCTCCGCGACGAGGAACCCGCCGGCCATCGCCAGCAGGAAGAAGGCGAAGATCTGGAGGATCCCTTTGCCACGCGGGACTTGCTGCTCGATGGCGATCATTGGATCCTCGGCGTCGAACCTGCGCATTCACGATTCACAACAAGTGGGGGTAGGAGGTAGGGGTAGTGGGGGTAGGGTGGCATATGCGGCGTGCAGGGAGGTGCGGTTTGTGGCGGATCTGCTGCGGCCAGGGCGCATGGCGTGGGCCGCCCCCGATTGTAAAATGACTCGCACCACGCGGCACAAACGACACAAACAGGACCAGCCCCCGTGGTAGGGACGCAGGCGCAGAGAATTTTCCAAGCCACGACGACGGGCGCGTCCCGGGCGGCGTGGGCTGCATGGGGGCACGGTGACCGAGCCGGCCTCGTCGAGCAGCAGCGAATGCCCGCCCACGATCGCGCCTCCAGCGCGGCGGCCATGGAGGCTGCTTCCACCCCTCATCGTGCTCTTCGGCTCGGAGCTGCGCGACCTCCACAAATTTGCCTCGCAGAAGTTCGTCTCATGGCGGAACATTGAGGGAAGCCGCAAGTTTCTTTTTGCATTTTGACTGATACGAGCATCCGGCCGCTGGGTGCGCTTTTTAGCTCCCCGGCCCTGGGTATGAGGTTGCCAACTGCACTCCAAGTGCTCCAAGACTACTGAAAAAGGGGAAGGAAGGTGGCGCCCCGGCGGAGCGGGCTCCGCGGAGGCCAGTGGCGGCGGGGCCAGCGCAGAGGGCGCTGCGGGCGCGCGCGAGATGTGCGTCGCACCGACGGCGGAGACTGCGAGGAGCTGGCAGAGCATGCTGCTTGCTGGGCGGAGAGAGAGGCTTCTGGGAGGTCGCGAGCTCGAAGAAGAAAACCAGTCGAACGCCCGCGCCCCGCCGCCAAGAGTTGCAACACCCAACACCCTCGCCCACCATCGGCATCGCCACCCCCACGCCCGCTCCACCCTCGCCCTCGCCGCCGCCGCGCACGATAGGCCGCATGGGGGGAGATTCGCGGGTCGATATAAGCAAGAGATGGTCCGCATTCATTCAGAACGGGCTGTTCGTGGAGGAGATTGCGAGCTCGAAGAAGAAAGTTTTTCCAAAGGGTTGTCCGGCCGGGTTGCTGCGCGAGGTGGCATGAGGGTTGCAGCGAGAATCGGCGAGGGACTGCGAAGGGAGATAGAAAGAGCAGACGACCAAGGGTTAGGGTGCGGGCGAGGCTTAGGGGACCCCTAGGGTTCTGAGGCAGGGTCGGGTTTTTTTAAGACCTTTTAAGAAACGAGGCGGTTTGGGGGCTTAACTTGCCATTTAAGAGATTGCAGGCACGGGGGGTCCCTCTTTTAAGACCGTTTAAGAAAATCGGCCTCGCCGGCATGCGTCGCTGGGTTCCGCGCCGTTTTCTCCAATTGTCCAATACTGCCGTTATTGGGCACAAACCCGCCTCTGAAGACACATCTGTAAGTCTGGTGCACTGGCAGGAGCCATACTCGCATAGGGGACGCGTGCTAGCTGACTGTAGCCAGCTTCCCGGCCTACGGCGTCTACCGGGAGCCTCCCGGACCATCGACCTCGGGAGCTCTCCCGCACCGTTTAAGCGTTTAAGACCGTTCAAGGAATCGGCGGCCCAGGCAGCCTTAAAATGGGCCTAGGCCCAGGCAGCCTTAAAATGGGCCGTTTTAAGCCGTTTAAGCCGCAGGCGCCCCAGGGCCCACCCTTTTAAGCCTAGGGGTCCCCTAAGGGAGGGATGGGAGCCGACGGCACGCCGCCACCACACAGGGATTTTAAGGAGAGGGGTGTGATGCGCTAGCCGTCGCCCACCCTCCAAGGCGTCCGCCTCTTCCTATATCTCGCAGTCTCTCCGCCGATTCTCGCTGCAGCCTTCATGCCACCTCGCGGTCGTCCCACTCTCGTCGTTCTCTCTCTTGTATCGCTTCTACCTCTGTCGCGTCGCTCTCCTCTGCCTCGTTCTGCGACGGCGCCGCCGCCTGCCGCTCCCTTGCTCTCGCTTCTTCTCTCGCCTTTCGTCGCAGCTCTGCCCTCCTCGCGGCATATTTTGGCCCCTCGCTCGAGTTTATCGAGCTCTCCTCGCGCAAGGACGAGGGCTAACACCACACTCCTCTCCTTAAAATCCCTGTGTGGTGGCGGCGTGCCGTCCTCCCATCCCTCCCTTGGGTTGTCTGTTTTCTTTCTTTCTTTCGTGTTGCTGCGCAAATCTCGCGCTGCGCTAGGCTCAGAGCGAGTTCGCGCTTGGGAGGTCGCGAGCTCGAAGAAGAAAACCAGTCGAACCGCCATCGGCATCGCCACCCCCACGAGCCGAACGGGGGGAAGCCGGGGAAGAAGACTCCGAGGAAGACGAAACACCAGTGGTAATCCCGTCGTCAGCTGTAACGATGCACCCGAAGGGGACCCCAGCGCCAACATCATCCGTGGAGGCACAAGTGTTCGAAGAGAGAGTGGACCTGAGCAACGATATGACTTGGCGGCAAATGATTGCAGTGGGCGTCAGAAGAGTCGTCCTTGCTCGAGGAGAGCTCGATAAACTCGAGGGGCCAGGATATGCCGCGAGGAGGGCAGAGTTGCGCCGAAAGGCGGGAGAAGCCGCGAGACCAAGGGATCGGCAGGCGGCGGCGGCGTCGCAGGACGAGGCAGACGAGAGCGACGCGACAGAGGAGGAAACGACAGGAGGGAGAACGACGAGAGTGGGACGACCGCGAGGTGGCATGAGGGTTGCAGCGAGAATCGGCGAGGGACTGCGAAGGGAGATAGAAAGAGGCAGACGACCAAAGGTTAGGGTGGGCGAGGGCTAGCACCACACTCCTCTCCTTAAAATCCCTGTGTGGTGGCGGCGTGCCGTCCTCCTATCCCTCCCTTGGGTTGTCTGTTTTCTTTCTTTCTTTCTGCCACCCCCACGCCCGCTCCGCCCTCGCCCTCGCCGCCGCCGCGCACGATACAGGCCGCATGGGGGGAGATTCGAGATTTTTAGCAATACGTTGTTGTTGTTGAGATTCGCGGGTCGATATAAGTGTGGTTGTTGTTTGTTGGAAAGAGAGTGCTTAGAGAGAACATAAAATCATCTTTCTCACGGCCTGAGTATCCATATCGCACGCTGCTGTCAGTCAGTCAGCCAGCCAGCACGGCTAAGAAAACGCACATCCGCGGGCCAGTGGGCCAGAGCGCCCACCACAGGCCCACCACAGCTCGGACGGGCACCCCCTCTCAGGTCCGGACCAATATCCCCCGCGCCTCGCACTCCGCGCGCAACCGCCTCTCCACCTCGTCCGGCTCGCGCTGGTGCTGGTTCCTCACGTCAAGCTCGGCGAGTCGCGGCGACGAGAGCGGCAGGGCGTCGAGCAGCGACTGCAGGCCAGGGGCGCCGGTATCGTTCCCGTTGAGGACAACCGACTCCAGCTTGAAGAGCGCCGGCTCAGCGAGCACCGCGGCCACCAGCCTCACCTCCTCGTCGCCCCAGCCGAGTGCGCTAAAGTAGAGGCATTCCACACTACTCATCCGCTCGTTGAAGCCACAACGGTATAGATCCACAGTCAGCGCCCGCTCCGCCTCAGTGGAGAGCTCCAGCGTTGAGGCGAACTCGGCGAAAGCCGCAGGAGTGAGGGGTGGCCTCCGATCCGCTCTCAACAGCCCCTCCAGTTCCCGCCAGTGAGTGGCAGCCCCAGCATCCTTGCCCAGATCCAGCACCTTGTCCGACAATGGGCCGCCCTTGACCAGCGTGGCGAGGGCTGAGTAGAGCACGCACCGGCCGGATGAGTAGTAGCTGGGACCCGCGATCTCGCCACCACAGGTGAGCAGTAAGACGTAGGTGCTTGGGTGGGAGAAGAGTGAACGAACAGCCGCCGACTGAAGGCGTTTGGCGACCGATGGTCGACGGCCTGTGTGCATTTCGCCCAACGAGAAATCGTCCCAGAAGACGGCCCAATCGTCATCACCCTTGGCGCTGATTAGCAGGCTGAGCGCATTGGCAATGGAGCGCAGATGGATGGAAGGGTCTGGGTGGGTCACGTGGGAGACGCAAACGATCCGAGATGGACATGGTGGCGAGGCTGGCGGGATGAATGCTTCCGGCGGGAGTGACTCGCGAGGTCCGAGCGAGCCGCGCCTGGCGGCTTTGAGTAGCCAACTGGCGCGGAGGAGCGCAATGCCGCCGGCAGCCATAGCTGCCTGGGCACTTTGGTCGAGCTTCATGATCGCCAGGACGGTAACCGCGCCGCGAAATGGCGTGTCCTTGGGACTTTCAAGACAGGGAGGGAAAACGCGCGGCACAACTTTCTTTTTTGCACGGCTAAGCCGCGCGTCCTCGCAGGAGTCGCTTAGGCGGCTCCCGTGGGTGTACCTGTGTTAGTGCCAGTGCACGCGCGCCAGTCCCGTGCCTAGAGAGAGGCGAGCGAGGGAGTTTCCATGTAAAATTCTTTCGCTTTGTTTGTGCCACTGTGGGATGAAGTAAGTGAGTGGGGGTGCGCTCCCGATCAAGAGAACCAGCAAAATGCACGTCCCCTTGCTGGTAGCGGCTCACTCGTCGTTACGTCGATCGATCGATCGAACGCTCTTCCTGCCTGTGCCCTGTTTATGCCCGGACGGAGCAAGAAAGAATACAGAATAAAGAATAAAATATAAAAAAGTAAAAGACTTCTCGTACGACACCGAAGCAGTTGTGCCATCGGCAAAAAAAAGGGTCCGACGCAAAAAATAATAAGTTTACATTCGGCGCCGGCGCGGGGGTGGAGGGAGGGCACCGACCGACTGGCTATCCATATGTGCATGCACATGTGAGGTGCATGTCCTACATGCACATGCATGTGGCTATGTGTGTGTGTAGGTGTTTGTTGTGTGTGATATAGATAGTTGTTTTGTGTGTGAGTGTGTGTGTGGCAAATCAGAGTGTAATAGAAAGGTGTTATAGAAATCGGGAGGTTGCACACACAACCCGCCGCGATTTGTCAGAGGGGTCCTCGATTTAAGGGCGGTTACGCTCTTAGGCGATTCATTGTAGGGAATGAACGATAGTTTCGGACGGACGATGGAGGCACTTGTCCGGAGGCACTTGTCCGGCAAGGCCGCCCGTCGACCATGGGCGCATGCAGACTCGCGCCAATGCGACTGATCCTCGCGCTCCTGCCGCTCACTGGGGCGAGCGGTGAGTGCAAACCCTTTTGCGACTTGAAATCGCACTTCTCGGAGGAAACGCGTTGCAACTGGAACGGCTGTGGGGGCTGTGCCGCGTGCTCGCTCTCGCCGCCCCCAAAGCCCCCGGCGCCGCCCCCACCGCCCCGACCACCGCCGCACATCCCATGCCTGCGCTTTTGCAGGGGCAAAACGCAGCCGTGGGAGCAGCGCTGTGACTGGGAAGGCTGCTGGGGCTGCGAGGAGTGCGCGCTCCGCGCACTGCCGACGTGCAAGCCATTTTGCGCGGAAAAGAGCCAGGCCTGGGAGGAAAAGTGCACTTGGGGCGGCTGTCCGGGCTGCGCAGAATGTGGCACCAGAGTCGCTCCCAGGATGAGGGTGGACGGCGTCCACATCCGCGACCCCACAGGGCAGATATTCGTTCCCAAGGGCGTCAACTATGGCCGGAGGTCCCTGAATGACAAAGGCGAGCATCTGTACAACTACAGCGACGCGGTCATCGCCAAGAGGCTCCTGCCGGGGTTGAACCATGTGCGCCTCGTGCTCGACTTCTACGACGGTACATTCGTCAGCACCGCCGCCGGCGAGGCCGAGATCGTCTACAGCGAAGACTACAAGGACGCATACCAGCCCTTCTCGCCTTCCACCTGCAACATCAAGCCGGGGTGGCTCAAGTACATGGACGATATTGTGGGCTGGCTCGAGCAGGAGGGCGTCTACGTGACCATCGCGCTGCGCAACAACTGGGGCACCGTCTCAACGCGGCAGGAAGCGCCGCACGAGGTCCCGTGCGAGAGCGACTACATTGGCAACGCCACCGCGCTAGGGCTGTGGCTGCACACGTGGAGGTGCATCGCCTCGCGCTACCTGAACAGGACGAACATCGCGTGGTACGAGCCCGCATCGGAGCCTCACGTTGTCCACCGTGGCACCAAAGAAACCGGCTGGAGCCCATGCTGGACACCGAATCAGGTCCGGCACCTCTTCGACCAGGTGGTGTCAGCCATCCGCACCGCCGACCCCGCCATCCCGATTGCAGCCACACCGAGTGGCTATTGCGCCTGCCATTTTTCTGAAGCCGACAAGCTGAGCGATCCCAATGTTATCTATGTGTTGAACTGGTCGTGCAGCATCGGTAAAATCCACGACCACGGCGTGAACTGGTACGGGCAGACAAGCATACCTTGCGTGTTCGCGGGCGCATACAAAGGCGCGTGCATCAAGGGCTGCCCCAAGGTGAGGAAGACCAAAGACTACCGGGACATCGACCGGTGGAATTACACAAAGGAGATGCTGGCGGGCTACTTGGAGCCGGCGATCGCTTTCCAGCGCGAGCACCAGGTCCCTCTGTGGGTCGACCAGATCATGTGCCCCTGCCACAAGGAGACGGGTGGCCGCTGCCAGCGGTGGATCGAGGACTCGCTCGAGCTCTTCCACTCCGAGCTTCCTAGCTTCAACTTTGACTGGTGGACGTGGAAGGGCGACGCACTCGGCGACCCGGAAACGCTGAGTATTCTCGCGGCGCCCTCGAAGGGCGCCAGGTTTGATTTGGCTAACTACACCGTCGATCCCGTCATACATGACGTGTACCGCCGGCCCTTCACGTGGAAGGCGAACTGATGCCAAGTCATGAGTACTATGTCATGGGACCCGCATCGTACAATTGTCCGTACGTGCTACTTATAAAGCCGTAGCCCGTATACGGCTCGGAAAACGAAAAAGGCCAGGCCTGAGGCCGTCTCGCGCATCGCGCTCTCTGGAGAGACCGCGCAACGACGTAAAACACACACAGCCAGCCGTTCACACGCAACGAACACGATGTACGTAATGAGGGGCGCACGGACCGCGTAGAGGCGGAGCCATCACGCACATTCCACATATATAGACGCTCGAGATCTTACACACAGCTCAGGGCCGGGCGCGGCGCCCGCACTATAGCGACTAGGCTCGGATGAGTGGGTCTCGGAATGACGCCTCCTGGTCCGAGGCGCCCCCTGGTGGCCCGGCCTGCCCGCCTCTCTCCCTGCCCTCCGACTCGGACTGCACCGCGCGCGAGAGTAGCGCCGTCCCGCCAAAGGCGAGCGCGAAGCCCGCCCCCTCGGCGGCGCACGGCTCTGCGCCGAGCAGCAGCATGCCGAGCGCGGAGACGGCGAGGGGCTCGACGGCGACGGTGACCGAGACGAGCTCGGCGGGCAGGTGCTTCGACGCGTAAGCGATCAGCACGAAGTAGGCGACGCAGCCGCACGTGGCCGAGTACGCGACGATGGCCGCGTCGCGAGGGGAGGCGAGTGCCGCGCCGACAGCGCCGAGCGAGCCGTCGGCGGCGGCGGCGGCGCAGGAGAGGAGCGTGCAGGAGGCGTAGGCCCAGGCGAGGACCCAGCTGACGGGGTAGCTGCGGACGAGTCGCTCCTGCGACAGGGGCGCGGCAAGGGGCAAGGGTGAGCGGGTCGTGGCGGCGGTCGCGGCGGTCGCGGCGGTCGCGGCGGCCGCGGCGGCGGTTCTCGTCGCGGCTGTCTGGCTGTCTGGCGGTGCGCGTGCGGACCTGCTCTAGCAGCAGGCCGACAAAGGAGGAGCACTGCACCGCGAGGACGGCCAGACCCAGCAGCAGCCGCGCGGAGCCGTGGTGCCCTCGAGGCCGGCCGACGGCGGATGGCGCTGCGGCGGCACTGTGAGCGCCGGCGGCGACGAGCGCACACCCGGCGACGAGCACGAGGACACCGGCCGCCTGTATCGGGCGGGAGAGGGATGCGGCGAGAGCGGTGTGAGGGAGCGAGGAGAGAGGGCGTGCTCTGACCTTGAACAAGGTGACCCGCTGCCTCCCGCAGCACGCAGCGTGGGCGAGGACGAGCACTGGGATGGCGAGCTGAGCCACAGACGTGACGAAGGGCGTCGTCAACTGCACGCCCCACAGGAAGCCGAGCGCGTTGATAAAGTTGTAGAGGCCGAGCCGCTGTACCGACGGCATGTCCGCTCGCCGCGGCAGCTGCGGCCCGTGCAGTGCGAGAGCGCCCGCGACGAGGAGGCCGCTCGCAAGCACCTGCCGGCAGACGAGAAAAGCCGTCGGCCCGGCGCCCGAGCCGCTGCCCAGGAAGAGCTTGCCGAGCACGAGGTAGCCGGCCATGAGCACGGCGGCGGTGACAGCTGCAGTGAGGCCGCGGCAGAGGCGTCGATCACAGCGCGGTTGAGTGTTGCACGCGGGCGGGCTGCTGCCGGGCTGCAGCATCTTCTCGGGCTCGGATGCCCACTCCACGTCGTCGCGCAGTGGCGGCTTGCACATCGTTCGAAGAGTATGTCTCGTCGGACGCAGCAAACTAGAGCTGAAGCATCCGGCCGGTTTTGTCTCCCGCCGCACCCGGTCATGATGCCGCGCTGTCCGAGGAGGTTGCCGGCCAAAAGCGCATGTGTTGAAGGTCCGATACTGGAAGCCCATATAGGCACCTTACCACGCGCTGGATTTTGCGGGATGTGAGAAAGAGATTTTTAGCAATACCAAGTTTTTTCGGGATGTGTGAGAGGTCAGGAAGTGCTTATCGGAGAGCGGGGTAACCTCACGCCTCACGGGGTCCTTGCGGTGGTGAGCAGGCCTCTCAGTTCACGCCGGAATCGTGAACCGTGAACCGTGAACCAACTAGCCCCCGCCCCGAGTCCGTGAACCCCGAACCGTGAACCGACTAGTCCCCACCCCAAGTCCGTGAACCGTGATCCGTGAACCGACTCCTCCCGCGACACCCGCCGCGAACCGTGAACCGTGAACGAACCGAGTCTGGCGAACCGGCGGTGAACCGCCGGTTCGCGAACTGGGTTCGCGAACTGGTTCGTGAACCGCCCCCACCAAGTTCGCGCGGCGGTTCGCGAACTGGGTTCGCGAGAACTAGATCGTGAACCGCCCCCACCAACCTACTTGCCGGGCTCATAGTCCTTCTCGTGCTTGCGCATTTGTTCCGGCTTTCGCCGCGCGCTGGCCTGGTTCGAGTTTCTGGGTCTCGGTTCACGGATGGTTCGCGAACTGTGGTTCGCGAACTGTGCAAAACAACCACCGGCGGCCCCACGACGGCGTCCTCGCCGCCTGGGCGGACGCGATGCGCGCCCCAGCCAACGCGCCGGTCGTGCACGGTGACAAGGAGAAACCAGAGCTCACCCGGCAGTACAAGAGCGGCCGCACACTGCTCGGTACCCCCCCTGCACTTCTAAGCCCATCCCTGCTGCTAGGGGGGGGGGGGTCTGACCCCCCCAGCAGCAGAACGCTGCTGCTGGGGGGGGGAGACCACCCCCCCCCGGAGCGGGAATGGAATTACCCAGGTCTGCCGCCTCTTTTTCGGCGGGGGCCCTCCACCCTTGGGTCGTGTTTGAGCGTACGCTCGAGGCGGTTGTGTTCACCGCGCCTTCGAGCCCGGTTGGCAGTAGGAGGCCCCGCCGGTGAGACCACTGATTTTGGTGTCGACCATAAATTCTCGCCACTGGAACACATGCTACTTACAGCTGCTGTCCGTACAGAGATGCCGGCACCCCCCACAGGCAGAGCGCTCCTGCTGGGGGGGGGGATCCGGACCCCCGCAGCAACAGTGCCCTGCTGCTGGGGGGGGGGGGTCCCCACCCCCCCAGCAGAAGAGCGCCCCCACCAGCAAAACCCTTCTGCTGGGGGGGGGGGGTCCGCCCTTGCTTTTAATTTGCACGGGGGGGACCCACAATAGGGGGGGCCCTCCCAAAAATCCAACAAAGGGGCGTCACCCCCCCTCAAGGCCAAATACGGCTTCCACAAGGGCCCCTGCCCCTTAAGGGGGGG